CCTCTGCTTATTTAATAGAGAAGAATTCCACTACCAGAAAGAAGCGTGCAATTCAAATGTCGCCTTCTAGAAGACATGCCACCTTCTTTGTGCAGTTCACCCGGTCTCCTCTCCCTGGGTGCCGATGTCCTCATCCAGGGAAACCTGAAGGAAAATATGTAATTACAAACTAATATTATAATAATTTAAATTAATCTTATATTATCCTATATACTTCAATACATAGTATAAAACAAAGTCGCTTTCGCTGTATGTCCGTATGTATGCTTAGATCTTTAAAACTACGCAACGGATTTTGATGCGGTTTTTTTTAATAGATAGAGTGATTCTTAAGGAAGGTTTGTATGTATAATACATGCATATTGCACCCGTGCGAAGCCGGGGCGGGTCGCTAGTATTATATAAAGCTGAAGAGTCTGTTTGATTGTTTGATTGTTTGATTGTTTGTTTGTTTGAACGCGCTAATCTCAGGAACTACTGAACCGATGTGAATAATCATTTTTGTGTTGGACAGTCCATTTATCGAGAAAGGCTATAAAATATCACGCTATGGTCAATAGGCAGCGAGCAGAGTGGGTGAAGCCTTGCGGAAGCTAGTTGAAAATAACGGTTTACACGGGAAATCAAAGCTAAACAGCATGAATGACGCGGCGATGACCTTGCTCATGAATGAGGGTCCCGTTGTGACCTGAAACAAATACTTAGCTTTAGCTTTTCCGGCCATTCAAGTAGTTTCACTTCCCTCATTATTTACTACCACATTGTTAGTTGTCTTATGAACTTTTACCTGAAAATAACGACTAGATTGATCAACCACAACTTCGTTTCATCAATAGCTATGACCATCCACAGCTGAACTATAGGCCAGCAATACAATTCGTACAGTTGAATTGAAGTTCAGGCCTCTGGCAATTTATCCTTCAATCTAAATGACCACATGGTTGAGGGTGAGGGTTCAACGGGGCAGCGAGACGCGATATATAGGTTCGGATTATTCTCAATCAGACTCCAAATAACAAAAATTCTAACAGCCTCTCACAAACCACGTCTAAATCATCGTACGACATCTATTTAAGTTCAGCTATTAACTCGTATGTTCCAGGTGGTAGCCATAAACTCGGACTGCTTCAACTCTGTAAATGACCTGCTGCATTTGTTCGTGCATATCCTGGGTTTGGATCACCAGCACAATATGTACGACAGGGATAACTACCTTCACATCTTGTGGGATGAGCTAACTGAAGGTACAGTACAGACACAAATGGACTATTCTTTAGAAGTATAGAAGTATCAATAGTGTAGTAGACAGTATGAAAATTAAAAATGTAATCAGTCCGTCTGTTAGACAATGAAAAAATATTAGACACATATTTTTTTTTATTATGTTGTATAAAAAAACATTACTTAGATATAAATAGGAGTTAAGTTTAGGAGTGAGAAGAGAGGACGTCACTGTCTAACCGCCAAGCGATTGACATGTAAGAAACCCGCGATTCAGAGAACAAGTGTTCTAACATTCGTTCATAGATGGCGCTTTTCATTTGAGATCGTTTTCTGAATCGCGGTGTTAAGATTCTCCGCCAATAGTATAAGTGTCTAAAGAATTCTTATGATGTTGGTAACAATCTGTCGCGTGCTATTGTAACGTAATTTTTATTGTATAATATTTCGGAATACAAGTGTTTGGTAACCACTACCACCACTACTACTTTTGTTCAAATCAACCCCTAGCTTAACCCTTACGATACCGAGGGTTATCCAGTCACGCTACCCTATAGTCTTGTGCTTAATAGTTCGCGACTGAGATCACTCAGATCAGTTCGCCGCTCCTAAACGAACTAGTTCGCTCTTTTAGTTCGTCAGCTCCCGACTCTCAGTTGGAGTTGGAATTGGAATGAATCGTATAGGAACTAGGAAGGCACTGGTAGCCAAATCGCTCCCTAGTTCGTCAGCTCCCGACTCAGCTCATGACTTTTCAAGTGAGATCTTAAGTTATCGCATTTTTTAGTTCGGTCTTCACCATAGACTATACATATAAACGACTTCACAATCCTTGTACTTGTACTTTGAAATACGAACTAAGGAACTAAGGAGTTGGGAATGACGTGAACTAGTTCGCATATTTTGAATGTGGGAGCGCTCTTTTGAACTAGTTCGTTCGTGAACTACACAAGCCTAACTACCACCACTACTACTTTTGTTCAAATCAACCCCTAGCTTAACCCTTACGATACCGAGGCTTATCCAGTCACGCTACCCTATATATGTAGTACTTTAGTAAATCGTGATGTCACACTATATTTAAAAGCAATATATCGTCGAAAGTATTTAATTTGATAAGAAAAAAAATACGTGTCTAATGATAAAAATAATCAACCAGTCGGACATTAAAATTAAATTTAGGATACTACCCTATTCCATTTTCAACCGAATTGTCACTTTTTTAAAGATTTCTGTTAATTCTTATTCTTACCTACTAATACCTTAGGCTTGGTTCCATTCAGTTCCATTTTTAGTTAATTTTAAAAGGGCCAATTTTTCAATGCTCAGGTAAATTTTAACTAAGGAATAACTTTGAATATTTGACAATTCTTCCATACTGAAACCTGTCAAACGTCAATTTTATTCTATTGTTCAGAATTAACTGATGGTTGAAAAATCGACCCTAAGGCAATGGGAATTTGGGAATGAATTACATTGTATTGTTTTGAAATCGTCCATCTACCATTGATATGAAAATAATTATAATATTTGTATAGTATCTCTCACGGGAAGTGTACTTCTGTAGACTTTGTCTTTTTATTTTCAAGGAATAATACGTCCTCATTGTTTCCTGTCTATTCTTTTTAACCAAAATACAACGTACAACATAAGTGTGGGAGAGCCATGCTTCGGCACGAATGAGCCGGCTCGACCGGAGTGATACCACGGCCTCACAGAAAACCGACGTGAAACAACGCTTGCGTGGTGTTTCGTCGTGTGAGTGAGGTTACCGGAGGCCTAATTACCCCTCCCTTGACCCCGTTTCCCGAATCCCCGAATCCTCCGCAATTCTCAAACTCCCAATTCTCAAAAGGCCGTCTTCGTGTTTCGGATGTCCATGAGCGGCGCCGATTGCTTACCATCAGGTGATCCGTCGGCTCGTTTACCGGCTTATGCCATAAAAAAAATATACATAGATACTATTGGTAATTTCCATTTTTGTACAGATGTTCGACAAGAAATGAAAACCAAGCTCGTACCAGCTGCCTCCGTCGGTTTCCCCTACGACTACCAGAGCGTCATGCACTACCCCTGGCTGCAGATCAAGGATGGAAAAACTAACATCATGTATCCTATATGGGTAACCCTCATTTTGCTTCACTAATACTAATAAAGGGCCCTCAAGTATTATTATTACCTTGTAATTGAATTATTATCCGTACCAATAGCCGCGGAGAACTTAACGGGTTGCCGGGGCTTCGGCTCAAAGTGCAGGAGTAGGAACGGTGTGGTTTTTAGTCAGTAAGAGTCTGACACTCCCTCCCGCCTCACCCAGACGAGAGCAGTCATTCGGTGATTTTCCCCCCTTAAAAAAAAATGCGGAAGAAGTCGTTTGATGATTCCCCCTCCCCCCTTAAAAACCCCATAATAATGCAATTAACCTAAAGTACTGCAATATTTCTGTTTCCAGAACGACGGCTGGGCTATGGGCAATTGGCAAGGTCTGAGCTCAGCAGACGTGCAGAAACTAAATCTTCTCTACTTCAAGCAGTGCGTAGTAAGGAGACAACACGCTGAGAAGATCGAATTACTTCGACAGAAGAAGAAAAATAAGTAATTAAACGGTCTATTGCGAATAAATATAGTATTTTAATTTTTCGCGATATCGTCATCAATTAGATTAGTATGAGTTTGTATTGGTCGAAACAAGACCGCGTTCAGCGCTCTGATAGGTTGGTTTATTGGAGCCGGCCAATCAGAGCGCCGGACGTGTATTCGTTACGATTACTTTAAACATAGAACAAACTCGTCCTAGATATCATTAAGGCTGGTATTGAACCATGCTCGCTCAATTCTCATGTACAGTTAAAAAAGGATACAAATACATTTATTAGATATGTGCATCCCTTTCTAACTGAGTATGCTCGATCGAGCAGAGATCGTCGCTTGAGTATCGTTCTATAATACCGGCCTTAGTAGTATAAGTAATGATTTCGAACTTTATCAACATCGTTCGAGCCGTAGACATGAGTGAACAATGAACTTATTGGGTTGGTCACTAACACTAACTATAACACTTATAAAGGAGAATTTAGAGAAACTCGCCATAAACAATAGATACATAGGTGTAATTTCAGAACATTCCGTTTATATTTTTATAGATTATGTAATTTAAAAAATGCCGAATTAGAATTAGAAGGGTGCATTAATTGCAATGCGTGTAACGACAATAACCACCAATAGGTGAATGAAAACAAAAGAATCAAGGATTCTCAATGGAGCTTTCAGCATTTTTTATGGCATAAGCCGGTAAACTAGCAGACGGATCACCTGATGGTAAGCAATCGGCGCCACCCATGGACACCTGGAACACCAGAGGCGTTACAAGTGCGTTACCGGCCTTTTTGGGATAAGGAGGATGGTTGGGGATTCGGGAATTGGGGAGATTGGGGAAGAGGGGGGCGGTTTTGGGCCTCTGGTAACCTCACTTACACGACGAAACACAACGCACACAAAAATATGCCATCTATTTCTGTCAAGAACTTTTAGTATCAGAGTAAAAAGCAGTCTGTGTGCTTTTCAAGCATCAAGACTTGAATCTACCTACTTCTATGAGGCTAAGAGCCAATATTTTTCATCCAGTCGTCCAGACGTGATTAAGTAAGAACATAGAGGTATATCCAAACTTCGACATTATAGGTAATGTTAGTATTAGTTAGGCTGCAATTGCAGTTTGCAGACTGATTGCAATTTGAGTCTTTGAGTCAAATACGGTCCATCTGTCTAGAACCTTAGACTGTGAGTGCAAGATACTGCCAGTAAACAAAAAATATAACATCTAGTAGAACTTATATTCGAGTTACAATTTATTTGGTACATGTTTCTGGGATACGTTTTGCATCAAATCAAAATGCTCTTTGTTAACCATTGACTTGGGTGATGGGTTCACTTCTTTTGTTGTATGAGATCCGTTAACATATTGACCGCCTTGACGGCCTTGATCATCTGCAAAGTCTTGGTCGTCTTGATTATTATCTAAATTGTCACGATTTCCTGTACCGTCTTGACCTTCTGTATCGTATTCATCTCCTTTGCTGTCCTGACCGTCTTCACCACCTTTACGGTCTTCACCACCTTTACCGTCTTCACCATCTGTCCCGTCTTCGTCTCTTGCACCGTTTTCACCATCTGAACCGTCTTGACCATCTGAACCATCTTGACCATCTGAACCGTCTTCACCGTCTCCCATAACAGCCTGACAGGTTTCATACAGTTTCCTCACCTTCCGTCTGTTGCAATCGTGACCGTAAGTTAATTGAAGCTTCATAACGTCTAACTGAGAAAAATGAACTGTTTCTGATTGCTTTATTTTCAAGCCGTGTACCTGAGAATCAAATTAAAATTTTCATTACCCCATAAAATTTCCATTTACTATCATTACTGATTGTAATTGGTGGAATGACAGTGTGCCCAACTATTTAGCAAAAAGATTTCATGTAAAATCCCGTGATTGGGCAAAAGCTTGTTTGAGGTTTTTCATCGAAATTCTGATAAGTATCACGAACGGTAGCAAGCCCTGGTGGAATACGCGAGATGTGGCTTACCCATTTTCATGGGATTTCTGTCATTATTGGCAAAATATTTGCAAACATACCTCTGCCTATCCCACAAGGAAGGTACGCAATAGTACCTTCATCTTCTTCATAGGAAAATCATCCAAAGACTTCTCCCGCCTTCGGTGAGGCGGCAGGGAGTGTTAGACTCTTACTGACTAAAACCCCCCATTCCTACTCCTGGTTCGAGCCGGGGCCCGGTAACCCGTTAGGTTAAGTTAGTTTCTTTAATAAAGTAAGTACGGCAGATTACAAAATTTGAAAGTGCATAGATATATTGACAGCTTAATTGCTCAATTTAAATGTTTAGTAATTCTAACTCCGTGAAAGTTTAATAATACATAGTTTAAAGCCGATTGAGGAAATATATTGCACAATTTTATTATTATTTCATAAATCCTTGTTCAAGCATTTTCATGTGGACCTAACACAAATTTTAGCAGATACATTAAAAACTACTGCCTTCTACTTTTAACACACTCGCGACAAGAGTAACTCCTACTCTGGCAGATGACAAATGTATAAGAATAGGTACATTGCTAGAGTACTCTGTCATCATCATCATCATCTTCAACAACAACCACCACAACAACAGCCAATAAGTGCCCACTGTTAAGCAACGGAATTTTTCTCACATAGAAAGAAAGAAAGAAAAACTATTTATTTTGCTACGAGTCTACGACACACAACAAGAATTTAGAATTTAGAACATGGAATAGGCTAGAGCATTAATCACCACACTTGCTCAAGGCAATTTCAAACTTATAGTTACAAATTATAAAGTGCCGATTCCTCGCGATGTTTTTACACCGTATGTCACTGGCGTCTAAATAATTTTGGAAAGTGCGTATAACTCGATAGAAGTCACATTGGTACTTGCCAAGTTTCGAACCCTTGTCTCCTTCAAATTCTCATGCATGAGAAGCGGGCGTTTTAAGCTTCTAGGCCACCACGACATCATCACCAATAATCACTAGATTCTTTGCTAGAGTCCGTGTTTCCTGAAGGGTGTAACCTGGGTGTTTTCAACGCCCGAGTAAATAGATTGCTTATGAGCAGAAGTGCTATATCGTTGGCCCGTTCATCGCTTATCACCAGGCGAGATAGAGGCCAAACGTCGGCCCATTACAAAGAATGATCACATGGCAATTATGCTACTTGGGAGTCTAGCGACTTACCAAAGGTACTATAGTAGGTCCTCCATTGTTGCTGTAGGCGTGGTCATGGAAATGCATGATGCTCATGGTGTCGTACTCTACCATATCCTTCTGTTCAAATTCTCCCCTCGCCCAGAACAGCGACCGGTATTCTGAGGATTTGATTTAAAATCTGACTAGTTCAGTAATTCGGTTCTCTGGTGAGATAAAGCAAAGGCTTCACATCAACACTCCTTGACTAACTATGCTGCACTGTGAGCCTCCACTACAGTAAATTGATTGCCATAATCTCCACATCATCCACACTTTCTTTTTTAAGGGGGAAAATCATCGAATGACGGCTCCCGCCTGGGTGAGGCGGGAGGGAGTGTCAGACTCTTACTGACTAAAAACCACCCCGTTCCTACTCCTGCACTTCGAGCCGGAGCCCCGGTAACCCGTTAGGTTCTCTGCGACTCCGTATCGGCATCAGCCCTATTTATTGGGTGCCCTATCCGTGGTGGTCTGATGGCTCTTTGAGGCGCGCTTGGAACGCGACGCGCTGCACGCTCATCCTCTACACTTGATAGGCAGATTAGTAAAAAGTTCAGGTTTTAACAAAGAGCGCTAATGACGGCTCTTCAATCTGCTCTTCTGAAATCTGCGACAACCAAGAGAACAGTTGGGTCGGTCACAAATATTGTTGATTGTACGGTATCGGTCCTTTCCTTAAGAAAAGTGAATCCAAGTTAATGTGATGTTGTGTTATGAACTCAACTATCGTACTCAGAGCCATTAACGGATTCACCCCTGTCTTTAGCAGTTGTTTTCGTAACAAATTCCTTTGTTTTATTATGGATTAAGACGGTAAACGAGCAGTCGCATCACCTGATGGTAAGCAATCGGCAACGCCCATGGACACCTGGGACACTAGAGATGTTACAAGTGCATTACCGGCCTTTTAGGAATTAGGAATTTGATGATTGTTGGGGATTCAGAGATTGAGAAGATTGCGGAGGGGGGGATATTCCTTACTGTTTTTTGAGGGTAAAAATCATTCAATGTCTTCTCCCGGCTTGGACCAGGCAGACCGGGAGTGTCAGACTTTTTGCTGACTAAAAACTACTTCTGATCTTCGAGCCGAAGCCCCTGCAACGTTAAGTCTTCCGCGACTCCATGTCGGCATCAGCCCTACTGGGCCCTATTTGCATTGATCTGAGGGCTTTTTCGGGTGAGTGTTAAACGCGACGCGCTGTGTGCTCAGGTAATAACTACCTTGCTAAGAAATAGTTTAAGTAATGATTCTTAAGAAGGGGTCTCGGGTTCGATTCCTGGGTCAGGAAAATTTTACGGGGTTTTTAAAAATGTCAGTAGTCGCACGTAGTCTGGAATTGTGCCCGGTATATGGCAATAGGCTTACCCCCTATTACATGGGACGCATAACATGTACAATGCACATGAACATGTGCACCTCTGTCAACCCCTTCGGAGATAAAAAGTTATGTTATCTTAAGAAGAATGTTTGAGTACGACAGTAAGATCAGCTTTGCTCACGTGGTTGTATGTTCGGCCAGAGGATTCTGACATAGTTATTTCGCTGTGGATGGGTGATCTCGTCGTGGAACCCAAGGACATGCATCATCGTATGCAGCATGTCACGTGGCGTCATGCACTCGTAACCGATGATCATAGTCTGAATACAATAAAGAAAATTTAAAATATTAACCCCATATGCCATATACATATTACTAGCTACTTCCGCGCGGTTTCACACGCTCTACTCAGCTCCTATTGGCCATCCTCGATATTTATAACCTATAGCCATCCTCGATAAATGCGCTATCCAACACAAAAAGAATTACTCAAATCAGACTTGTAGTTACGGAAATTAGCGCGTTCAAACAAACAAACAAAAAAACAAACTCTTCCGCTTTATATATATAATAGTATAAGATAAGATATACATCTATCTATACAGATAGATAAATTTGGCATATTGTGTCTGTTTGTAAGATTGAAATAACAGCTTTTTACTGCATGCATATTAGTTAATATACAATCGCTAGGAACATATATACCAAAATAACACGTTTTTCATTTTTTGTCTGTCTGTCTGTCTGTCTGTATGTCCTGACTAATCTCTGAAATGGGTGGACCAATTTGGACGGGACTTTTATTGACAGGGAGCTAATGTATTAAGGAGTACGTAATGTACACAACTACATAGGCTACTTTAATTTTAGAAAAACGCAGACGAAGTGACTGTTTCAGATAGTAATATATAGAGGTATGTACAAAGCTGAAGAGTTTGTTTGTTTCTTCTTCTTCTTCTTCTTCTTTTTCTTCTTCTTATGGTGCCACTTAATTCCTGAAGGTTGGCCGTCAGCTTTTTGAATTGGTCCTTATCATTGGCCAAGCAAAAAAGTTATTCCACAGAGCTGATACAGGTCTACTCCTGGATATGCGAAGCCACGACTTTTTCCCTTCCACTTTACCCATCATTATAAAATGAAACAGCATGTATCTGTCATAATCAGTACGTGACCGAGATATTTTATCTTGCGCTTTTTGATGGTGTGGATCATTTTGCGTGGCATGTGGACGCGCTGGAGCACGATATCGTTCCTGACCTTTGTTTTGTTTGTTTGATTGCCTTCCGGAACTACTGATTTGTATTCGAATTGTATTGGACAGTTTATTTATCAAGAAAGGTTATAAGCTATAAAATATCACTCTATGATCAATAGGATCCGGACAGCGGGTTTTAAAATCTAGGCTATTTTTTAAGATTCCAATTCGAACTCTCCAAATGAGCTCGATCGCGGTCCGTCATGTTATTAGTTATGAGAATAATCCCGTCCAATGATGGGCAAGGATACGATCGAGCTCACTTCGAGAATTCGAATTGACATCTTACATAGTAGCCTAACTGGTTAGGAAAGAAAGCACGAAGTTCTAAGATGAGAGTAGGTGTAATATAAAATAATTTAATTTTACAAATATAGAAAAGAAAAGACTGCCTCATTGATCGAGTGGCCGAAAGTGCGACTGCCGGGCAAGGGGTCTCGGGTTCGATTCCCGGGTCGGGCAAAGTATTACTGGGTTTGTAAAAACCTCAATAGTAGCACGGAGTCTGGAAATGTGCCCGGTATATGGCATAAGGCTCACCCCCTATTACATGGGACTCATAACATAAATAGTGAAAAGTGGATGTTACATTGTACAGTGGCATTAAGTGCCGTAATGTTCACCTCTGCCTACCCCTTCGGGGATAAAAGGCGCGATGTTATGTAGAAAAGAAAAGAAAAAAAACAGTTTATTACGCCACACATGCAGACAACAAGGCAAGAACACACGAAAAGAAGTTCACGGTGCATCACAGCCCACAGCCATATGCTGAACTCCAGCCGGGGACAAAGGCTTCAGCACCAGCCTATATAATACAGTTACATAATATCTTACCGCTTTTCCACTGCCATCGTGCAATGGTCTATGTATGCATCGCCTGATTTTTGTTGGATTTTCGATACTCAGCCACATATAACCACTTATCTCTTTACCTCTTCTTAACAAGGGCTTAAAAACCACACAAGAGACCCTCTCTATCGAATTCATTGCTGTTCTTATGCGTTTCGTTATTATTTCATCTGGTAACAAAAAATTAAGCCGTTACTTTTTTAATCTGTCCATTTGGATAATTTTGAGACCATCATCGGTCAAACGGCTAACGTTTATCATTGCTCACTGTCTCCATTGGACTGTGAACCTTCTCTACATAAGGTTTGTCACAACCTGCCCAGGCAGGCGGTTGAAGTTCGCAGTTTAAAAGAGTGCTGCTTGCATAACCGGGCGGTCATATTATCAATTGTGTAGTTGGCTTTTTACGATACCCGTGAAAAAGGAAGGTACGCGGCATCCACTCCTACTGTGTATCTTACTGCCCTGGGCCTTCGTATGTATATAGTATACACATACGTGGAATGGAATATTCCTGACACTCCAAAATCAGCTGCTTAAAACTATACAGGCGTACATGTCACACACACATCAACAGCCTATACTTAAATGGCTAATGCTGACCAATGGTTTCTTCTCGCACGGACAAGGTTTGAACATTAACCACCACGCTTGGTCAATGCGGGTTGGCAAAACTTTATATATATACGTAGCTCTAAAAAAGTTATCTTACCGTAGCTTTTAGGGTCTACGTAATATGGCACGATACCCTTGGACCACACAAAAACGGCCGGCTTTAATTCAACCGAGGAGTCACTTACAACTGCAAATAATAAATAGATGTGTGTTAATATCTGATTATAAAGTCAAAGTCAAAGCATTTATTTCAATTAAACTATAGTTTGGTACTTTTGAAACGTCAACAAATACAAAATAAATAATAGTCTGTCAGTCAGTCCGTCAGTGAAATTAGGTGAAGCTAGGTGGTCATTGCAAAATGTAAATTCGAATGGAGAACAACGAGCAAGAAACTCCATTCGTTACTCTTTTTAAAAAAAGTATGTTCTACAATGTCTCTGATACATATTTCAATACTGTACGCATATGTAAGAACAATGCAAAGACACGCTTGACGCATTATACTAATAACTTACTAAAATAAAAAATTAAAAAAATCTTAAGTCTAACATGGTGCTCACATATGCATACTGACAATCCATAGAACTAGTGCTATAATAATTTCCCCCGATCGTTTGGGATCATGGTGGCCAGTCTGTCTAACTAGACTAGCCCACTACGCAGAAGATATTACCTCTACAATGCACAAGTGAGTGGGCAAACACAGATGCACCCTCTTAACCCGATGGGACGGCAGACGGACACGACTGGAGAGTGGTCAGACGCAGGACCAACGGCTTTACATGCTTTCCAAGGCACGGGGGTGAAACACCTCCGAACTTCCTGACTCCGAGCTAATAATGGTCATTTTACTCAGAAAATGCCCTTTTTGGTCGGCGTGAGAATCGAACCCGCGAAGCATTGCACGTTGGCGCTCTGGCCGGCACGCATGTAGCTATGCTTGTTGTTGTATGAGTATTATCTGCTATTGGTTCTCATAATCTATACCTACATAAGTACTTATAATAAAATCGTAGGAAAGTGAATACATTGAATATTTAAAAAAAATAGTTAGGGCGTAATCTACAATCGATACCGAAGCCAAAATTATAGTTTGTAGAATTTTTGTCTGTTTGTCTGTATGTATGTCCGGGCTAAACTCAAAAAGTACTACACCTTCGGAGTAGGCGCAGTGAATCACTATTCCACGCGGACAAAGTCGCAGGCGCAGCTAGTATTAAATAAATGGCTCGATTGCTACCTCTGGGCTATGTATCAATTACTGTTTTTAAATTGACATTTCATCTTTACTAGGTAGGTACATTCCTCAATATTCTCACATTGAAATTAGTGCTCGTTGGCCGAGTGGTCGCAAGTGCGACTGCCGGGCAAGGGGTCTCGGGTTCGATTCCCGGTTCGGGCAAATTACTACTGGGTTTTTAAAAAAAATCTCAGTAGTAGCACGGAGTCTGGAATTGTGCCCGGTATATGGCAATAGGTTCTTCCACTATTACATGGGACTTATAACATAAATAGTGAAAGTGGGTGTTTATTAGATACTACTACTTATTATTACTACATTAATTGTTTATTTTAATTCGCTGGAGGATCAGAGATATAGGTACCATAATACGATTTTTATTTAACTTAGAATGGTAGGTAAATAACTAGGTACCTACCTAATTACTGGTCGAAACTCACACACAACATAAACATTCCAAAAGCCATTATTTACATTCCTACTCCTTACTAGAAAGGCAGTTCGATAATAAACTGCCACCCATCCAAAAAGTGACCTCGGGATGCAAAGCTTAACTTTCAAGATCGACTCGGATGCATGATCGTGCATACAATACTTTAGACTGAGATGACTTTGGGACATTGTATTTCCGAAAGCACTTATTTTCGAACATAGGCTTATAAATAACTATAGTTCCGGTTAAAAAGCGCTTTTTAACGGTAAATACTAGGTACCTATATCATAATACATGTTGCTATTGAGAAACTAAGTATATACTACTACACAGACTACATAGGTAGGTACATACATTGGTTTCACATTGTCCTTTCGTTATTTAACCTATCTGACAGCATATTGGAAAAAATACTTACGGCTAATTGTTGTATAAATCAAGCCTTACAAAACGACATATAAAATGTTATTGTTGGTTCTGGGAAAATTTTGCCTTTAATATTTTAACATAACGTAACATAACATCACGCCTTTTATCTCCGAAGGGGTAGGCAGAGGTGCACATTATGCCACTGTACAGTGTAACACCCACTTTTCACTATTTATGTAATGAGTCCAATGTAATAGGGGTGAACCTATTGCCATATACCAGGCACAATTCCAGACTCCTACTACTGAGATTTTTCTTAAAAACCCAGTAGTACTTTGCCCGACCCGGGAATCGAACCCGAGACCCCTTGCCCGGCACTCGCACTAACGACCACTAGGCCAACGAGGCAGTTAAAATTTTAATTAGTAAATATATACGAACTCCGTTTCAATTCGTTTTCATCAGATCCCCCTGATTCTAATTTATAGAATTCTTCCTTTGATTTGTCTTCATACGACTCCTGCCACAGATTATTGTCTAGCGCATTCTCACTTCGGTCTTCACTTTGTTTTGGAACATATTTCGACCGGTCCTCTATCACCTCCGAATCCAACCAATTACTAGTATCTTGCGACATCACAAAATGCCATATTGTAATAATTAGCAAATAAAAACTAAGGAATAAATTCATTACTCCTATCTACAAAGAAGGAGAATTTAAAAAAATAACTAAACGTAATCTACACAATTGCCTTAACTTTATATTATTTTTCAATTACTATTATGAAATCGAATAAGCTTTATTGTTCTCATACATTTATCATATATATTGTTAACAATACATTTATTGTTCTCGTAAAGTAGCCCAATAAAGTGTTAGGAATATAAAAAGTAAATATTTTGTATTATTATTTTAAATACGTAGAGTGTACGAATATGCATCGTCGAAGTGATAATAACGCTGATACATCAATGTCACAGCTATTTCTTATCGGTTCCGAAGAACTTTGCAAGTTGCAAGAATTTAATGTTCTGGGACTTATTAAAATCGCGTTCTATCTGTTTGTAAAAATCGTTTTATTTTACTTCAACTGGCCTGCGATCACGTCTCATTAATATCTTCAAATGAAGAAGATACATAAAATAAATAAACATTTCAGCCTATCGGTAATTTGAAATGCACCTTTGAAAAAAATTTTTAAATGATTCAAAATGTAATAGAAAACTGACTACATTAAATTGGCAATATATGCACCAATCACGATCGTCCACGGTCAGCTGTCAATAGATATATTGTTATGATAGCTCCGTTTCATGCAGATCATAAATGTGAAATGTTCAACAAGTTTTATCTTAAACTATTCATAAAGTAAACGATTTTCACAAAAAAGAAGAATAAGATGAACAATAAATGTGAAGCAATTACTTTTTTCACTTCAGGACATTAATTAATCACTTCATTATTATTAAAAATGAAATTATATTCGAAACAGCGTATAACGGACTTATGTGAACATTGTTTACATAACTGTTCTATACGTATATTGAAAAGGGAAACAAACTGGAATGGAATGTGTCAATAACAGTCAATAAAGTATCGTACGGACGATTAAATATATTCGCGGTGTAACAATATAAGCTTTTATTTCGTAAAATACGTTCAGTATTGAAAGACAGAACATTCCAGACTGTAGTGCTGTATAATTACTAACAATGCAGCGTTATTTATTGCTATATACTTTTGTTTTAATTGTACCTTTTGCCTATCAAGCTTCAACCACGACCGGGTCTATCGAATTAGACGAATTTTCTTTTGATAAAATAAGAAATAAATTCGATGCAAGCCTTATTAAATTCGATGTGGCGTTCCCATACGGAGATAAACATGACGCGTTCGTGTCACTGGCAAGGGAGGCGAGAGATGTGGAAGATCTTTTGATTGCTGAAGTCGGCGTGAAAGATTACGGTGAAAAAGAAAATGAGGCTCTTGCGAAGAAGTATGGAGCTACCAAGGATAACTTCCCTGTGGTTAAACTGTTCGTCAAAGGTAAAACTGAGCCTATACCATTTGATGAATCAAAAGGTTTCACCAGTGATGAACTTCGCCGCTTTGTGCGGGAGAACACAGGCATATATTTGAGTTTGCCTGGCTGCGTAAAGGAACTCGATAAGTTCGCAATTCAGTTTATGAAAGGCAAGAAAGATGAGAGGAAAAAAGTACTAAAGAAGGCTGAAGAATTCTTGAAGAGCTCAGACAAGGTATAGCTTTTATTTTTCATTAATAGTTTTTACTTCTCGTGACTCTAGTGTCAATTTACCGCGTCATTATCACCCAATTCTTAGCACACGAATCTGTAAGTCCAATTCTCAAACAATTGTATTTTTTGTTTTAGGAACCTGCTACTGGAAAGATCTACAAGACAATCATGGAGAAAATTCTAGAAAAAGGCGATGATTTCATACAGTTGGAACATGAGAGAGTGAAGAAGTTGCTCAGTAGTAAAGTATCCGAAGAGAAGAAGAAAGAATTAGGAATCAGAATCAATATTCTTCAGACATTCCAACTATCTGACAAGCAGCAGAAATCACAGAAAGAAGACCTGTGATTGGTCAATTAATTTCTGTGGCACTAAATCACAGTTCATAGTTGTGTAGTTGTTACTCCTATGAAGTGTCTCTTGAGTATTTTTATGTTTCTAAATCTATAGGGTTTACTGCTATAGTACTTTTTTGTCTGATACCTCTAAATATACTTATGACAGCTTATGAATATTCCGCACCTGTATTGTGAGTTGTGAATTTCACCTGACTGTATGAGTTTTACATACAGAAAAAGACAATTTGATCTCTTTTTTTTTTCTCTCAACTGTACAATCCCCAAGAGGACACCAGTGACCTCTCTCCACAAACCCCATTACATATCTTATTTCTCATGTTTAAAGACTACTTTTGTATGATAAAATTTTAGGGTTTTTCAGTATGATATATCAACATATTAGAATGGTTAGCAAAAATCCTAGTATTTATCATCTGTGCAATAGTAGAGTAGATAATACAGATATTGATTGAAATTTTATTCACTGTCACAATTCCATTATTATATTTATCGCATTGAGAGTTGTTTTATAACTTATTCTTTTTGAAATTAAACGTCCATATCATGTTATTATTACACATATTTTACGACATATGTACTTAAATAATGTACCTATATTTTATTATAGAGTGTTACAAATGTTCTATTATAGTTCTATATGTATGTGAGCAATACAATGTCATACATATCCAAAGAATCGCACTTAGCAACTACTTACATATACATTTTACGTTAAAAGAATTGTATTAAAAATTTTAATAGTTCAGTTTTTCTTTTAAAGTTTACTTTTTGTTGAAAATAGACACCATTTTGTATTTATCAATGGATTTAATAGCATAATATTATTTTTCTTCTGATGATGGTTGTAATTGCTGCCTCTATTATTAATTCATTTTTTGACCGCCAAACTAAAATTACCATAACTGGTCAACCATGACGGTCAAACTATATGGAAAGCATGATATTAACACATCATCGCTAGTAGCATAGAATAAATTTATCTTTTGTCATGTCTCTTTTGTCACAAACAGAAACTATTTTTATATAGAAGTAAGTAATGAGGTCAATAAGGTTCAAAATTTTACATCAGTGTGATGACTTATTATTATACTTATTTACATTTACCAAAGTAACTTATTAACTCGTTAAACGCCATGGGGGTCACCGGTGACCGGCATTAGCGGAGGATTAACCTTCAACAGTTTTTTATTGACAGTCAAAGTCTTAATACTAGCTTCTGCCCGCGGTTTCAGCCACGATCCTGTGGGATAAAAAGCAGCCTATGTGTTATTCCACACTGTAATCTGTCTCTGTTCCAAATATCAATCCGATCCCTTCAGCCGTTTTGGGTAACAAACATAGGTACAAACAAACTTACAACTTTCGCATTTATAATATTGGTAAATATTAGATAGATGATACCAAAGTATTAAATATTGTTGAAAACATTCCATTAGATGTATTTTTTATTTGAAAGTAATAGCAGTCACATAATTAATTTTACGGTCGCATTGGTTTCAGATTATTATACCAGTTCGATGATAACATTTCCGTATTGTATGTTGTTGTAATACGAAATGTAAATAGTGATTTCTACAATACTATCAAATTAAAAACGTATTTTATACAGGAAATATGTCGTAACATTCATTACTCGCCGGATATTGCTTCTAGGCGCTTTAAATAATTGAAATTACGGTTTATCAATCCTTGACAAATTGTATTCCATCTTGCTAAATTATATCAAAATTTGTTGAGCTGTTTAGCAGTTTGAATGTGGCAGACAAACTTGCATTCGTATTTATATGTTGATTAGCATGTCCTCTAATTTTGTTGTTTGATAGCACCTGCTTTAAAAACCATGGGTTTTGTACAAAGTTAGAACTAAAGGAACTACAGTACAGGTTTTATAAAACATGTATTAGATAGTTCCCAAAATCATGAGCATATCTTTGTATTTAAATGTTTTATTCTAAATAATGTAATTGTAAAAATTAAGGTGCACGACTGTGGGTGTGTTTGCAATAAATTATTTTAAGTACTTTACACGTAATGATTTTTATTAAACCTTCTACCCGCGACTTCGTACGCGGAATCCCGTTTTTTCCCGTTTCCCTTCGTGATTGTCGGTAAAAAGTAATAAAAAAATATTGGATAAAAAGTATCATAATATGTCCATCTCTTGGTTTTAAGCTGCCTACTCACCGATTTTCATCCAAATCGGTTGACCAATTTTTGAGGTATAAATAGTATAACTAAAACGACTTTCTTTTATAATTCTTTTATAATTTCTTTTATATAGATGTCCTACTATTTATTTCCCCAGACACTTTTTTTTGAGAATTATGACATATTTGTCATCAGGCTTTGCTAGTTGTTACTAAGTTGAATAATACAATAAAGACAAGCCAGGAAGCAAGTTAGAAACTTAGGTATCTTATCTATGTCGTAAATAGTTCATAGTCCGATAACAGACTACATAAAAAAGCGGATAATAATATACAAGTACATAAATAAAAAGCAAAACATTCATGAAATCCATCTATGTATTCAGATTTTGAAATGTATAAAATTATAATATAAATTCGAGCCGATTTCGTCACATAGTTTCCGCGATATATTTTATTACAACACAATATTAAATTGGAATGTAACAACGCAGAAACTATCGACAAAATGGCGACGTTACATACATGTAAAAATAAAATTACCTATTACAGAGTATAATTATAATGGATGAATGTTTTTAACGTGTCAAGAGTATAGAGAAATATTAGGCACATGTCTGTTTTAACAGTGACAACTTAATAACGCCTTTATTACAAAAACTTTAAGAGGTGATTTTCATGTTTTCAAAGTTCCTGAGAAGCTAGCTAGACATGTAAATAACTTCTACGTTATATTTTTATAACACATACATTACGCCTGTCCTCCAAGGGATAGGCAGAGGTGTACATAATTAATGTAACACCTACTTCCTTCAGTTATGTTAATAGGAGCGATCCTATTGCCATATACTGGGAATTTTCATTGGCTATCTACTTACATTTAAAGCATATCAATTCCTTGCTACATACCAATTATATTACGCGAATTAATGAGCGAAGAACGAATACTTTCATCTAAAAACAAGCAGAGGCCTTAGTATGAATTTGTTTTACGTTCAAAGTATTCGAAATGAGACCGCGTTCAGCGCTTTGATTGGCTGGTTCGTTGGAGCCGGCCAATTAGAGCGCCGGCCGCGGCCTCTTTTCGAATACTAAGGCCTCAGTTTACCCTGTCTCACTACTTAGAAATTAGAAAGCAAATCTAAGACATGGTTAGCAATTCATATCAACATAATATGAAATGACCTTTATAAAAAAACCTATACCCCCGACACAAACAAAGTTACAACAGTAAGATTGATATTGATATGTAGTGATCATGACGACATGTAAAAATTATTAATAAATTTCAAGTGGAGCAATATTTTACCATACAAGGGAGAATCTTAAAAGAAATAGGAAAATTACAGTCTAATTAATTAGAACAAAAATAGTAAAAGGAACAACTTGAAAATAGCTAAATGTATTAATTAATAGATGGGCGATGTTTTCTATAAATACTGAGTAAATATTTGTTTTCACTCAGGTATTTATTAAAAATATCGCCAATCTCTAGTGTCAATATAATAATGCTCCACTTAAAACACAACCTTACTTATAGATGCTAACATTAATAATTATTAATTATTATTATCATACATATTATTATATTCGAGCTTCTATGGAATATCAAATCCTAAATCGAACATTCATTTTCAAGCTAAAAACATCATTTTAAAGTATTGCCAACAGTAAAAATGGAACAAATTGAAAATATTTACATTAAGCGTAAATAAAATTCGAATGAGAGTTGCCAGTTAAAATATTAGTATTAGTCCAATATAATAAAACAATCATACAATATTATCACTAGCCATTAAAAGAAAAAAATATAGATTTATTGTAAATGCATCATTATAATTAAAATACACAGAATGACTGGTAAATGATTGTACATTATGAGGAATAATATGTGTAGTACTACTTTTTGGGCCCTACATAAATGTTGCTAGCTAGACATCTAGCAAGAGTGGGATCATTCGGGATACCTTTATCAGAGGAGCTACAGAAAGAACTTGACATATGAAATATATGAGCTTAGTCAGCAAGTAAAGCTGAAACAAATCTAATTGGAGTGTGTATTATGATTTAGGCCTAAATCAGAGATTTGGACTCATATCAGCAGACAAACCTAAGTGCCATCAATACATTTACTGGACTTAGTCCATTAGGCTTACTGTCCATGGCAAATACTTGCTTGCTTAGGAGCAATCAAGCATCATGGACAGTAGGCCTTAGGCATAAGCAATTACCATTACAACGGAACTTAGTCAATCTAATCAAACTTCTTAGGTTACCAGCCTCTCCAGTGCGTACTACAAATCATAAACAAGTCATTCCATAGTTGTCTTACAACATCAAATTACATATTGGCCTCTTAATACATTAAAATTAAAATGAAATTTATTCCGCACTTTCTACCTTCAGCTCCTTCAATTTTAAGACTACGCCATCAGAATCAACTTCTTCTTTGTCATTTTTGGCATCTATTTCCAAAGTCTTAGGCTTGGGCTCCGGAGAGTCAGTGTCCTCGCTTCTTGTGATGCTGCTCTCGTCATCTGAAGACAGGTCCTGCGTGTAAATACTGCATTTTGTTCTTACAATCTCTTGAGCCTCTGCAAATTTGGTCTTCCATAGTTCTGCATCTGTAAATGTTAATGTTCTTTATGAAATACAATGTTTATTGTTTTTAGGAATAAAGTAATAATATATTTTGGTATACTACCATAATTAATTAGGCACCAAAAGTGCCCTATTGGTCTACCTATAAAAATTGGACTCTAATTAACTTAAAAAATGAAATGGTAAATATAGTTTCATTTTAATTAATTTATTGTTAATTTAGGTCAAACTCTTTTACAGTTCTCTCACAGTTCAAATACATGCTATAAAGATCATAATCTTCATAAACATGTAATTACAACTCCTATCAAAAGAACATAAAAAATATAAGTACCAAAAAGGAATTACAAAGTAAGTTTCAAAATCCTATATCAAAAGGAAAAAATATTAACAATGTTCATCAATACTTACTTTGAGCGTTTCCAAATTTGATGGCCAATAGTTCCTGTTTCATGGTTTCGTCAGCAAAATCAGCAAAAACAGACCAGTTGAAGGCCTTATCAGAACCGCAATGGACATTCATCCTAATATCTGGTGTGATGAAGTGGTTCGCACACACTTTCAGAGTCTTGTCACGTCTCATCACAACTCTGACTGTGTTGTTCACTTTGTGACGAAGCAATTTGATATCACCCGTGCCCCTTTCCTATAAAATATTACATGATTTAATTTTTTTATTAGCATTTGTTTAAACCTTATAAGGCCTTACTGTCTTATAGCTTACAAATAATATTTTTTTTAATCTTACTTTTCTTGTTGACACAATATGTTATCTTTATCTATTCAATAGCCTGAATATATCTATGACTCAGGCCTAACCTGTAATAGGCACAATGCTTACACTTTATTAATTGCCTTTGCCTTGTCTCAAGAAAATATAAAGCATATACAAAGTAACACTACAGTCTATAGAATTAAAAAAAAATCTTAATTCAATTGTTTTCCATTGTCTTACTTTCCATTCATGGTCTCCAGTATCGTATCTGTAAAGCCTGGCGCGAATCTTCACGAGTTCCTCCTCTTCCTCTTCATTCGTGTGGACGTCCACAAGAGGTAACGACACGATGGGATCAAAGTGAGGATCATGTTCCGGCGTCTCAGCTTCGCCACCTTCGCTTTCGCTGTTGCGCCGTACGCTTTCTTCTGTCTGCCCATGCAAGAACAAAAACAATTTAATACATTTTCTAATTGTAGAAACACAATAACTAACTGTTGTAATCATCTTTATCAATTTGGTACTCACCGGTGAAGACATATTATTCCCTATTTACTTTCTTTTCGAAAGAAATTAAATTCGTAAAATAAACAAACTCGGCGAAGTTCGGTTACTGACTGATTGAATGAAAATTTTTGTAATTAGGAGTGAATGATAAACCAGTTTTCTTTTTAATCTGTGATAATAAAAAGAACTGTTTAGTTTAGAAATGCTCAAAAAGTTTAAAAGTAAATGCGTAGCAATATAAACATTTCATTAAATTTTTTTAGACTACCAATAGTTGCCTTTTTCAGATTATTTTCTTAGCTTTTAATGTTCTTATTTAGGTTCACAAAATTTTTCATGCGTTTTGATGATACTCTTACAAAATAAATGTTTGCAACATTTATCAACGAAAACAGTTTCATTCATTACTATTGTTCACAAATCAAACAAACTGATTGAACTGATTCATTCAAGTTTCTGTCAAATAATAACAAAGTTTATCGATTTACGATTCTTGAAATATTTAAACAAATGTGTGATATAAGTGATTTTCTCATATGTTTCTGATTGTTATGGTAGTCTAAGATAAGGTAAATTGTGTTTTTGGCATTAAAACGAGTGTAGGACTGTGTACTGTTATGGTGTCAATGACTTCAAGAAATATATCGTCGACCTATTTTCGGCTGGTTTATTTTGAGAATTCTTCCTATTTTATCGTAGTTCCGGGTTGCTGTGTGCTTTAATTAGAATCAGCGAGCTTTATACCACCAGCTTCTCTTCATTTGCAACGATTAATTGATTGGTAGACTATCTATTCAACCAAATTGTAATTCAATATTTTTTGTTGTTTTTTCGTATTGTAAATTATTATTTTGTAATTTCAGCCCGGTTATGGTGTACAATTGAGTGCTACATTACTAAAATAATTATTACCGCATTCGTGGTGTACCTACTCAAATATTTAAAGAATAATTTATCAGGTAAGGTTTTTAAAGTTAATTTAATCTGATAGAATGAAAATAATTATTGTCTATAACTATTAACAAAGATATTTCCAGTTGACTTTCTTTTTACTATCATTATTTATATATGAAAAAATAGAATCATTGTCTTTCGCAACAGAATTAAACAATAATAGAATCAACTAATAATTAACATTACATCATTATCTCCATCTACAGCAATAATCACAAATGCAGAACAATTTAGGGAAGATGATAACTGAGCAGTTGAGAAATCCGAATGAGTTGGACATCAGTCTCCGCATGGAGTTCGGACCTTTTGAAACTGTACACAAATGGAAAAGGATGTCGGAATGCTATGAGTTTGTTGGGGCCAGGTAAGAAACACTTATTTAAAAATAATTAGGTAATAACAAATGTAGATCCAAATTCATAACACATAAATATTATGTCAAAATTGTTCTCAAAAATCTGCCTTGTTCACTTACTGGTCGGGCAAGGGGTCTCGGGCTCGATTCCCAGGTCAGGCAAAATAGTACAGGGTTTTTTTTTAAATTCTCTAAGTAGTAAAAGTAGTACGGAGTCTGGATAGGCTGATCCCCTATTACATGGGACTCATAACATAAATAGTGAAAAGTGAGTCTTACATTGTACAGTGGCATTAAGTGCCGTAATGTGCACCTCTACCTTCCCCTTAGAGTATAAAAGACGTGACCAAAAATGTGAAAAGTATTTAATGTGAGTCTAGAACACACCATACTTTACATGGTGTAACAATTTCAATAACTGTAGGACAAAGGTCATTGGGATGATGACAGGGTATGAAAATTAAAAATCTAATTAGTCCGTAAGTTAGGTAATGAAAAAATATTAAACACGTATTTTTTTATTTTGTCGTATAATAAAACAATACTTAGATAAAACGAATCAAAATTTAGGAATAGAAGCTAAAACGTCATTTCTACGTTTAAAATGTACATAGAAGTGACGTCACGCGACATTTCAAATCAATATATCGTCGAAAGTATTTGTTTCTGTAAGAAAATAAAAAATACTTGTCTAATGTTTTAAAATAATCTACCAGATGGACATTAAAACAAAAATTAGGCATCTACCCTATTAAGATGACAGTACTTTGATTACCATTATGAATATTTTTAATGTGGTTACCTAAAAATATCTTAAATATTTTTTAATTGTTAACAGGCGCAGTAAACATACAGCCGTAGCGTACAAAGATGCTATCTATGTGTTTGGAGGCGATAATGGCAAGTCCATGCTGAATGATCTGATTAGGTTCGATATCCGGGAGAAATCGTGGACGAAAACTGGATGCATGGGCATCCCACCAGCACCCAGATACCATCATTCTGCAGTGGTGAGTTTAAGAACTTGGTTTATATTTGTACAGTCAAAGGTCAAAAGTCCACTACCACTGTGAGTGATGTTCACACGGCAATGCGTAAAGTAATTTTATATTAATGTGCAGCATAAAAACGCGTACGTACGTGTATGCGTACGCACACGGATAAAAATATGCGTGCGCATGTGTGTATAAGCGCTACAGCGCAACCAATAGTAGTCTTACGGTGCCTGCCACCGTAAGACTACTATTGGTTACTGCCACCGGGTGGCAGTGGACTTTTGACCTTTGACCGTACATAAAATAGTGTATTAACTTAAAATAGGGTTTACTCTAACGTAGATTAGACTAGTTTCGAGTCACAGAGGGTATCTTCCTTATGAGCAGCGTAAGTGGCCGCGGCGAGGTCGCGCAGCCTAGGTACTAGCTGCTGGCTGGCATAGTAGGCTGTGCGACGTCGAGGAAGAGTCCCTCTGTGACTTGAAACTAATAGAACTTTTCTCAGTATATTCATGTGAGTAAACGTTTTTTTTTTTTTAAATGTTGCCCTACACTAGTATTTTCTCCTGTGTCGTGGGTGCGTTGACAAACATACAAGTTCACATGACACCCAGACCCGGAACAACAATCTGTGGATCACACAAAGAGTTGTTCCGTGCGGGAATTGAACCCGCAACACGTTGCGCGGCAGTCAGTTGCTCTACCACCGGGCTAATCCATATATTTTTAGTAAATTTAGTATGTCTTACGAGAGTTATTATAAAAACATGAAGTCATGTTTTTAAAAATGCACCCACATCTGGAAATTGTTGTGAGAGCCGTAACGCTCATTGGTTGGTTACGCACTCTGATTGGTTGGTTTATTGGCGCCGGCCAATCAGAGTGCCGAACGCGTACTCGTTTCGAATACTTTAAACGTAAAACAAACTTGTACTAAGGCCTCTGTTCAGCAGTTTACGTCTTATGGCTAATTTGAAACATTTAAGTTGCCCAACTGTGTCAACCAAGCAGTGATTTTGACCCATTAAAAATTGTTGGCCTGATAAAAAGATAAAAATTATGTGTGTCCTATTTGTCGGAGTATTAAAACCGAGACACGGTAACCGGGCGATAAAAACATTGAGATGATATATTTTTTAATCCAGGCCGAATCTGCCGCGTTTTTGTGTAATAAGGTTGGCAAACGAGGATCAAGGATCACCTGATGGTAAGCAATGGGGCTTAGCGTTATTTTACTCAGCAGACGGCGCTAGTCTGATCCTCTCGTTCTTTGTCCAATAGGGAATTAGCTAGTGCCACGCTAATGGACGTTCAATATTTGACAGCTGCTGTGATTGGACAATAAATGCCATTATACATTTGGTGACCATAAAAACGTTAGCCCCCATTGGCGACCCCTATGGACAACCGCACACCAGAAGAGTAACAAGTGCGTTGTCGGCCTTTTCGGGGTTAGGCTCTACACAGACGGACCGCATTTCAACAGCAAATTGCAGTTCGAATGCAGTTTGAATGCAGTCGTGGTACTCAAATTCAATACTTTTAACAGTCAAAATAATTTATTTTTGATTTATGAAAGTACCCAATTGCAGTTGAAATGCGGTGCGTTTGTTTAGAGCCTTAGAGATTGGGGAATTGGAGAGGATTATCGTATTTTTGTTTTTTTTAGGTGCATCGGTCGTCAATGTTCGTATTCGGCGGTTACACGGGCGACATATTAGCGAACTCCAACCTGACCAATAAGAACGATCTCTTCGAGTACAAGTTCCAGAGCGCACAGTGGGTGCAGTGGAAGTTTAGTGGACAGTGAGTTCAATTTTTTTATAGCTATAACATAATCTAATTTTCACTATTGACCCCTCCCCCCGCCCGTATATTGCTATGGATGTCGTAGGAACCGTTTAAGGGAGTACACATTTGACAGGGACTTTTTTTAAGGGGGGAAAATCATCGAATGACTTCTCCCGCCTAGGCGAGGCGGAAGGGAGTGTCAGATTCTTACTGACTAAAAACCACCCCGTTCCTTCTCCTGCACTTCGAGCCGGAGCCCCGGTAACCCGTTAGGTTCTCCGCGACATTTGACGGGGACTGGGCAGTGCTCTCTGATAACTCGAAACCTTACAAAGTACTATCTTCAACTGTGGAGATTAAAGTAAGTAAGTCCTCCATATGCCAAACAGGGAGATTATAGCAAACCTTTTAATGTATAATGATAAAAGCAGTTGCCCCTAAAATTTGGTAATTGTCTTAGGGAGCCAGTACCTCGCTCAGCACACGGCGCGGCAGTGTATGACGACAAGCTGTGGATATTCGCTGGTTACGACGGGAACGCGCGTCTTAATGACATGTGGACTATAAACTTGTTGGTAAGTAACTGATTAAGTTTCTCCAAATTGACAAATAGTTTGACTAATTTTCCAATCAACAACACCACTATTAAAGTCAAAGTCCAAAGTTAAAGTCTTCCACAAAGTTCATACTTCAACGAAGTTTAATATCCCTTTTACAAAATCTAATCCTACCCATGAAGTCAAATCCCCTTTCCACAGAATCGAATACCCTCTTTTATTTTACGAAGTCTAATCCCCCGCTTTTATGAAGTCTAATCCCCCCATCCACGAAATAGTATCGCCCTTTAACGATGTCCGACCCCTTCTACGAAATTCTACGAAGAATGCTACGAAGTCTTCTCCCCCTTTTTATGAAGTTTAATCCCCCTTCCCCCCCAGGGTGAAACGCGGCAATGGGAGCGAATAGAACAGAAGGGGCAGTGTCCCCCTACGTGTTGCAACTTCCCAGTGGCAGTGGCGAGAGGGAAAATGTTTGTGTTCAGTGGACAGAGTGGAGCTAAGATCACTAATGCTCTCTTCCAATTCGATTTTGAGACGCATACGTAAGTTGTTTTCTTTGTTGCTAGCTAGATATGTATAGCTCTTCTGCAAATGAAAATTAGGTATTATGTTCGGACTGAAACCATGAGATTTTCGTCTTTATTACAAAACTGTAAAGTTGAAAAGCTATTAAAAGTCTGACAGATGTTTAGGGTAAGTCCCCATAATTTCATTTGCACGAGAAGCGGACTTTGCGGTTGGCCGCTATACATTATTTAATAATTATGCAACTGTTAAACAATCGCCAATCGCTATGGTAACCGCCGCAAATGCTCTCATTATGTTAATAAACTACATTATTAAAATCAATTTTGTTGGTCGGTTATGTTTTTAATACATAATTTGTTTAATCTCTCCACTAACTACATTATATACCTTATTTCTAATGATTAGAGACTACTTCTGTATGAACAAATTTGGGGGATGATTTTCAACAATTTTCAACGGGTTTAGCTATTGTATGTTTGTATAAATAAAGAGAGAAAGAAAATTTTGATCACCCCTAACACAACTATAGGTACCTTTATTTTTGTGGCATAAGTCAGTAAACGAGCGTACGGATCACCGGTAAGCAATCGGCGCCGCCCATAGACATAGACACCTGAAATACCAGAAGCGTTACAAGTGCGTTACATTGGGGGGGGGGGGTTAATTGGATCTCCGGTAACCTCAGTCACACGACTGCACACAACGCAAGTGTTATTTCATTATGGTATTCTGGTCGTTGGTGGTATCACTCCGGTCGCGCCGGGCGAAGCATGCCCCGCAGTGAACGTACTGGCCGGCAGGTGGAGCCGCGTGTGCACGGAGCACCTGCTGCGCAGCGCGGGCGGCGCGCCGGCGCGGCGCTACGGACACGTCATGGTGGCGCACCGGGCGCATCTCTACGTCTTCGGGGGCGCCGCCGACAACACGCTGCCCAACGACCTGCATTGCTACGACCTCGATACGCAGATATGGTCAGTCTAATACTTTAATGCTATTATTTTGATTCACTGCCTCGTTAACCGAGTGGATTGCCAAGCAAGAGATCTCAGGTTCGATTCCCGAGTCGGGCAAAGTATTACTGAGTTTTTTAAAATAATTCTCAGTAGTAGCACGGAATTGAAATAGTGTCCCATATATGGCAACAAGCTCACCCTATTACATGGGACTCATAACATAAATAGTGAAAAGTGGGTGTTACATTGTACAGTGGCATTAAATGCCGTAGTGTGCACCTCTGCTTGTCCCTTTAGGGATAAAAGGCGTGACGTTATGTTATTATTTTATAATTTTAAAAAATGGCCGACAGACTTCAAAAAAAATTAAAACAGTAATTCTCAGTTTGACCTGTATGAATGTACGGTTGTACGCGATTATCTCGCGTTTGGCTGATCAAATTTTGATGCAAAATAAGTGTTCGATACACTTAGGAGAAGGTTTTACTAAATTAATCAACCGACTAAAAAAAAAGATGGCTGAAATCGTTATTTTTATCCCATATATATCGGTCACCGGTGACCACTCTCCACTAACTACGTTATAGACCTTATTTCCAATATTTAGAGCCTACTTTTGTATGAACAAATTTAGAGGATGATTTTCAACGGGTAAATGTAGTTTATAAAAAAAATATTCAATTCAGAGTAGAATTAAATTCGTCCCCACCACTACTTTTTCCCCTTCTGTTAGGTGTAATCTACATATTTAACAGAAATAAAGCTGCAACATACTCCGATAAACCTAATACTTGAAACAACACTTACCTTATATTCCGTGTAAGTAAGACTAGGTATTCGAAATCCAAACCCCCGTTCCCATCCCCCATCCCCCGTCCCCCCTCCCCATCCCCAATGCCACAAATCCCTAAGCCACCAAAAGGCCGGCAGCCCATTTGAACTCCACTACTGTTGCGTGTGTCCATGGGTGGCGTTGATTCCTTACTATCAGGGTCTGCTACTTCACCCCTTTTTTTCACCCTCTGTCGCATAAAATCTTCAAGGTAGGTACTTATAAATAATAATATTGTTTTTCTCAGGTCAGTAATCCAGCCAGCCAACGACTCTCAGATCCCGTCAGGCCGACTGTTTCACGCGGGCGCAGTAGTAGGAGACGCGCTCTATATCTTCGGGGGCACTATAGATAATAACGTCAGGAGCGGGGATCTGTTCCGGTTTCAGGTAAACTATGTTTACATTCGTGTGATGATGATAAAATAGAATACATTTTGTCACCAGTACCACCATTACTCTATTATGCTGAGTGAGTGAATAGGTTGCTTATGGGTCGACGTGCTCCATGGTAGACCGCATCATCGCTTACCACCAGGCGAGATAGTGGGCAAATGTCGCCCACCAAATATAAAAATAAAACTTTTACCGCGTGTTTCATAAGAGTCAAACTAAGAGATTACATAGGTACAGTTACTGACAGACTACGTTACAGACTACATAGAGTTATATTAAATCTTTCATGAGACATACTAAGTTAATTATTATGTTATTGGCTTACTCACGTAATTATTTGACGAACAACTCGACTAGTTTAAAGCCATGCTAGAGGTTCATATTCATGAGTCGCATTCCGCGGCACGCGACGCGGCGACTGTCGCCGCTACTGGCTGCTCGAGTCTGCGGGCCCAGCGCGCCCTCTGCTGGGATTCACGCGTACGCACCTCTCGCGTGTCGTTACGGGATCCAAAACAGTTATTCATGTCCCTGGGATGCGCCGAACTTCAGTGTTCCGGTGTTTTCATGGTTGTATCTACTGTAGATCTTAGCTTACAGGAGTTATAGCTATTTTGGAAGGTTATGGCGGGCTTGTCCCAAAAAGAACAGACTTGAGATTATCCAAAGAGGGTCTGCCATGATCTTCAAACTTGGTAAGCGGATTGAAGATCACAGTTAAAAAGTTCAGGTATTCGTCAAATGTGTAGTCACTTGGTCCACTCTTGGTACCCACTAGAAGAGAAGAGTTGATGACAAATATTTAACATGATTTCATTTCCCTTCCAAACAGCTGTCGAACTATCCTCGCTGCACTCTGCACGATGACTTCGGTCGCATTCTGAAATCCCATCAGTTCTGTGACATACAAATATTGGTGGGCCCAGAGAAGACGCCCATATTAGCTCATCAAGCCATCTTGGCGGCCCGGTCGCAGTATCTACGTGCTAAAATTAAGTAAGTAAACGCACTGATCGGAGGAGGTCCAATCTTTCCGCCAAACAATATCCCCCATACCGGCCATACCCCAAATCCCCTACTCCCCCCAATCCCCCAATCCCATAAACCACAATCTCTTACCCTAATGCGATACGATAATCAACCATACCCAATTTCCTAATGCCCTATCCCCCAAAGCCCGACCATGTACTTGTACCTTTGGCACAGTTTTAAATAGATTAAGTAACATACACATCAACATTCGCATTTATAATATTAGTAAAATTACTATGATAATATCAGTATATTGTTTGATTATATGATCATTTAATCGTCTTCGCAATTCTCCAGAGAAGCTCGCGACGATCTAACGAAGCGTATCGCAGCGGGCGAGGAAGAAGCGACAGAAGTATGTTCGTACAAGTGCCCCCCACAACTCTGTGTGTTGCTACCTGAAGCCACGCCTGAAGCATTCCACATGGTGCTCAACTATATCTACACCGACAGAATCGATCCGACTGAGAAAGGTAAACTAGGCTTTATTTACATCATAATAAAACTAATAAAAGATATCTACGTGTCTAATTGCAGTTTTTTCCAACCACCCGTAAACAATCTCTTAACTGAGAGTTACTTAGCGTATGGGAGCATTGAAACTAAGACTAACCCCTTACTTATACTGTTAGAAGTCATTTATAGGTGAAAACCAAAGTGTCTTTTGAGTTTAAATGTCACCTATCTTAGCTAAGGGGTTCCTTCAAATTTAGGAAGGGTTGGTAGAAAAGGGTTTTTTTTTGAGGGGGAAAAATCATCCAATGACTTCTCCCACCTTGGGTTAGGCGAGAGAGAGTGTTAGACTCTAAAAATGTATCCTACCGACTTTTAACATTGTTCCTCCTTAGACGAAGACCCAGAATCTCCAGCAACGGTCCTCCTAGTGATGGAAGTCCTCCGCCTAGCGCTGCGACTGAGTATCCCCCGCCTCAGGGGTCTGTGTGCGAGGTTCCTCCGCGCCAACCTGTGTTACGGCAACGTGTTGCAGGCGCTACACGCTGCACACCATGCCTCGCTGTCTTGTATTAAGGAGTATTGTCTCAGGTTAGTCATTTTAAGTAGTTATAAACAATTATTTCACTCCATCCCCCTACCCCGTTCCCCCTTCCAAGCCTCTAACAATAATATTGCAGGTTCTGACCATCAAGTGATTCGCTTCCTCGTTTGCTTGTTTTCGTTTGAACTTTTTTATATAGATAGGGAATAGCTAAAAAAAAGTTGCTACAAAATCAATAGATAAAATTCCTAAAGGGCTCGTACACAAAACTGCGATGCGATTTCGTGCAACAAGGCGTCTCCCAAGGTGACCATTCCTTCGACGACCGTCAACCGTACTAAACGTATTTTAAATTGAAAGCTAGGTCGTGACATGGATCGTAAAAAGAAGTGTGCACTTCTGTTATTGCTTAGAGATATCGACCGGAGTGATACCACGGCCTCACAGAAAACCGACGTGAAGCAACGCTTGCGTTGTGTTTCGTCGTGTGAGTGAGGTTAACGGAGGCCCAATTACCCTCCCCTTCCTCAATCTCCCCAATCCCTGAATCCCCAACGATCCTCAAACTCCTAATCCCCAAAAGGCCCGTAACGCACTTGTAATGCCTCTGGTGTTCCAGGTGTCCATGGGCGACGCCGATTGCTTACCATCAGGTGATCCGTCTGCTCGTTTACTGGTTTATGCCATAAAAAATAAGAAACATGATTTTGGGAAGGTAAGATTTTGATACGCGATGCGAATCAATCCTCAAGTTCTTGCGATGCGTAGAGGGAGCTCGCACATTTTTGCGATCCGACGTCGCATCAGTTTTATGTACGAGCCCAAAATCCTGGTCTAATAAAATTTTGCACGTGGCTGCCTACATACATTAATGGCTGTCATCTTGCAACTATAACACGTTGGAGATGTTAGTTACTCAACTATCTTTTGAATTCATTTTAAATTAACCTATTTTAATTAAATAGTAAAACAAGTCGTTTTTCAATACAACATGGTGTCGGGAACAAAACTCCTTCTTCTTTTTCTTCTTCTTCTTCTTCTATCTTTTTTCCTTTATTCAGCAGTAAATATATTCCGGCAGGTTTTAATGATAAATGAGCAAAACTGTGAAATAATTTAAAACCCTTTGTTTGTATTTTACGAATCATTAATAATACCACCGCTGAACCTAATTTTAATGACAAATGTGTCGCAGGTTCGTAGTAAAAGACTACAACTTCACCCCGATAGTGATGTCGAAGGAGTTCGAGGAGATGGACCAGGGTCTGATGGTGGAGATCATACGCAGACGACAACAGCCACAGTCTAAGCAAGCTAACGGGGCCGCGCAACAGGAATATGAGGAGGAAATTATTGGTGAGTCAATCGAGTTAATTTTCAGAAAATTTTAATGTTGAGTATTCGTTTTAAAATATCGATTTGTTATTGTAAATGCTATACACTAGTAGGGTAAAGAAAATGTTTATTTTTTTATTTTTCTCTCATCATTTACATAATAAAATACAGCAAACGTTTTACAACTAAACCTGAGACTGGTGTCTGTTGTGAAACCTGTATCACAGATTACCAGGCCATCCCACTAACGCGATACAACTATTTACTGAGTTAAATGAGTTTTCAGCCTACGATTTTTACGAACGAATTATTTATAACAAGAAAAGTATCTTTTTTTGTTGGCGGGGTCTTCAAAAGGCGGCTAGTTTTTTGGGGAAAATGTTATGTTATGTATATTTCCAGGCACCACCCTGGAGCAGGACATGTCGGTGCTGCTGGGCGGCGGCGGCGAGCTGTCGGACGTCCGGCTCCGCGTGGGCAGCGCGGCCCGCCCCGCGCACCGCTCCGTGCTGGCCGCGCGCGCCGCCTACTTCGAGGCCATGTTCCGCTCCTTCTCGCCGCATGACAATATCGTCAATGTATGTACACCATAACTAATTTAACTTTAATCAAACCTCCACTAGCGTCAAGCAACGGTCACTGACGTAGCACTCTGCTAATAGTGTTTAAAGGATTACTCCCATAACGAGTTAAACCGACCAGTTTCAAGTTACAACAGGGCCTATAATTATGAGCAGCATGTATGCCAACTGACGCAATGAGCTTCTCACAACTTATTTCAAAATGGTGTTTATATTATTTATTATTTACTTATTATTTGCCAACAATATTTATTCCATAATTTATTTACACAATGTTGAATGAAAGCAATTTTCAATCGTGCGTTATTACCAGATGGCACTAATGTAGCTAGTATGTATAAGTGTGTAAAGTATTGGAGAGCCATGCTTCGGCCCTGCCGGCCCGGCTCGACCGGAGTGATACCACCAACAAGTAGAAAACCATAGTGAAACGACCACAGCGTTGTGTGCAGTCGTGTCACTGAGGTTACCGGAGGCCTAATTATAGTTTTCCCAATACCCCACAATCCTTATATTCCCAATCCCCAAAAGGCGGGTAACGCACTAGTAACGCCTCTGGTGTTCCAGGTGTCCATGGGCGACGCCGATTGTTTGCCAGCAGGTGATCCGTCTGCTCGTTTACTGGCTTATACCATAAAAAAGCAAGAGATGTTTTGTTCAATCACAGTAGCAAAAATTAAATAAGCAAACTAGCTTATTCCCTATTATTTTTTGTCTAAACAAAAAGACGAGATGTGCACAATGGCTTCATCTAGTAAGCAAAGTAATGGTCGACCTATTATGAAATCTAAAATAAAATGAATACATCCTATATTGTATTTAAAATCATATCATAAACATATTTTATTCATTTCATTTTTCATCATTGTTTAGATACAAATCTGCGACACGGTGCCATCAGAAGAGGCGTTCGATTCCCTGCTGCGGTACATTTACTACGGAGACACAAATATGCCCACTGAAGACTCGCTGTATCTATTCCAAGCTCCCATATATTACGGTAAGTTCCTTACATGATTATAGAAATACCTACAACGTATATAAAAGTTTTCTCATTACCATTGACTTAGTTCAGCCGATCGCGAGTTAATCGCATACATTCATACATACACACAGGTCAACCTGAGAACCTCCTTTTTAAGTCGGTTAATTTTTTTTATGGCGCAATCCTGTAAACGAGCATACGGATCACTTAATGGTAAGCAATCGGCGCCGCCCATGGACACCTGAAACACTAAAGCGTTACAAGTGTGTTACCGACCTATTGGGAATTGGAAATTTGAGGATTGTGGAGGATTTGGGGATTGGGGAGCCTGGGGAGGGGGGGAGTAATTGGGCCTCCAGTAACCTTACTCACACGACGAAACACAACGCAAGTGTTGTTTCACATCGGTTTTCTGTGAGGCCGTGGCATCATTCCGGTCGAGGCGACCAATTAGCGCCGAAGCATGGCTCTCTCACTGTTTAACTAAATAATCTAAAAAAAAATTAAATAATCATTTTTTTCTCAGGTTTCACAAACAACCGTCTCCAAGTATTCTGCAAGCACAACCTGCAGAGTAACGTGTCCCCAGAGAACGTCCTCGCCATACTACAGGCCGCAGACCGCATGCGGGCTACCGACATCAAGGAGTACGCGCTCAAGATGATCGTCCACCATTTTGGATTGGTCAGTTATAGTAGCACGTTATACATTCTCCTGATAACATAACTATAAATCACGTGGCAACTTTGAGATCAAAGCATCACCTGGAAATAATGAGACTTAGCTCAACTATGGATAAAATGTCTAATGTGCGTTGTAACTCACATTGACATTTTGTCACTTTCAATCCTTCGAATCCACCATTCAATTTTTGTTGTTAAAAATGTTAAGGCTCTAGCTAGACGGACTGCATTTCAACTGCAATCGGATGTAGTTTGAATACAGTCGTGTCACAACTGCAATTGAACTGTAAATGAACGTGCAGTCCGATTGTAGTTCTATTGCAGTCATGACCAAACGTGCAGTCCGATTGTAGTTCTATTGCAGTCATGACCAAACGATTGTAAACCAAACGTGCAGTCCGATTGTAGTTCTATTGCAGTCATGACCAAACGTGCAGTCCGATTGTAGTTCTGTTGCAGTCATGACCAAACGTGCGAGTCGATTTGCAGTTGGATTGTAGTTGAAATGCGGCTCGTCTTTTTAGAGCCTATGTCGTCACCATTAAAGCTACTTCAATCGAAATTTGAGAAACAAATATTCACAATTCATACGCACTCTATAATGAAACAAGATCACTAATTTTACTTCCAATTTGTATTTTTTTAACCCGTTGTACGCCGATACTTATGTAGATCTGCGCGAGACGTAATGTATTTTCTATGGTGTCTCATATACCGACACTCGAGAGGTTAATTGTTCTAAAGTCGAAGTCACTGGATAACTAAAACTCATTTTGTTCCCACAGGTCGCACGACAGGACGCCATCAAAAACCTAGCGCAGCCACTTCTAGTGGATATAATATGGGCGTTGGCTGACGAACCAAACTTCGACGCCCCCCTCCCGGTCCAACCCAGGTCCTTGCCATCATCGTCGTCCGCAGACACACTCACTGACGATCCAGAGTTCTACGCCAGATTCCGATGTGGAAAGTCTTAAATGGTAATTAATATAATCACACTAATATTATAAATCTGAAAATTTCTTTGTTTAGATGTTTGTCCGTCAATCACGCTGAAACTACTGAACGGATTTTGATTAAATTTGATATACAGGCAGGGTATGGGCTGACTTAGGTGATAGGATACTATTTATCCCGATTAATTGTTTCTATGAGATAAAACAAGAATCATATTCTTCGCGGACAAAGTCACGGGCAATAGCTAGTAATATTATATTAACATGAGCTCTTGACTGGTGTACGCTTGTATGATTGTGATGTAAGCTAAACATAGTCTAAAGAATTAGTGGAATTATTTGCCAGTCTGTGTTTCCTGAGAAGTGCCTTCAAGGCCCGAGTGAATAGGTTGCTTATGGAACGACGTGCTCCATCGCAGACCGCGTCGTCGCTTACCAGGCGAGATAGTGGGCAAACGTCGGCTTATCAAATATAATAAAAAATCAAAAGGAATTCTATAATTCTACACCTATTCTTATAAATTTTATTTTTAACTGAATTATTCTAATAAGCCAATCATGTCGCCAGAACATAATGGCAGTAAGTGCCAACTTTATAACTACTTTAAAAATATACTTATGTAAACTGCCTTTATTTCTATATCGTTAAGTGTTGAAATTTCAATAACCATTACGATATATGGGACTGTAAACCAGCTTTTAGCTGTACATTTAAAATTCTACTTTAACGTTTTAATTATACGGTTTATAACAATTTGTCTAACATAAACTACCTCTTTCAAACATCGAATAACAGCTAAGTAAAAGTACTTTATATATTTCAATGTAGAAATAGTATATAGAATCTCTAATAAATCGATTAGTCTCGATTTATAAGAGAAAGAAAAATCGATTTCTCCTCGAAAAATAAATAGAAATGATCTATCTCTTTATATAGCGTAGTATTAAAATTATGTAATATTTTAAGATATAATTATTCTACTCAACCAAATTATTTGGTACCTAGGTAAGAAAGTAAAGATTGATACAGAGACTCTTATTTAAATACTCAAACATTATTCGATTTTAAGTCGCGCTTAAATAGTTCTGTCACTACAAATTGGTTACTCTCCTTAATCAAAAATAAATTATGTCGACTGTTCAATACAATAAAAAAAAAAATCACACTTTCATTAATTGATTTTACGACCAACTTAATTTTAGTATTTTTCCAACGAATTTAATGTATGCTGTTTGACGCTTAAAAAACGTGACGTCATAATAAACAATCTCGTACAAAATTCATAGAAAACTGTAGTTTTTTGACAGTTCGAAAAAAGTATTGAATTTGACTAGTTGGCAAGTAACCAATTCTTTGTAAAATGACAGAGATGGTGCGATATTTAAGTACAATTTAAAATTGAGTAGCCTTTCAGAATTCGGGCGATAACAAAATAAATACAAAAAGTATATTATAAGATGTAACGAGTGATCTAAGCTAACCAATGAATTAGTTTGTAATAAATTTTGTATAATAACTTTAACTTTTAATATGAGAAACACTAAATTAGATAATGATCATGCGGCGAGCACATCATTGCATTACCGAGATGCCCGATCGGTTTCGAGCTCGAGCGTAGCCCTTAATATCTGTACGCATGAGCATTATCAGTTTATATAAGATGTGACGTTTATTACTGTGATTGTATTAGTTAAAAGGTAGTTTGAGGGTGGTTGGTGAAAATGGCCATTAAACCGCTTGAATGCCTGTATATGAGACACAATTGGAAATAGATTGTGTCTCGCGTGGATCCCCGTTTAGACACACGACGACGGGTTAATAATTTGTTGGTAATGGTCGTCCCATATTAGCACAGAGACACAATGAAACCTGAAACTATCTACATACAAATTGAGGCTAAGGGAACCCTATTTTTAAAATAGGTACTAATCTTATTTCAGTCTTCTTCCAAATAATGCTGTATTAGGGCTCGTACACTAAACTGCGATGCGATGCGAATTCGCAACGCAAAAACTTACGATGCTAATTGCTGCGATGCGATTTCGTGCGACAAGGCGTCTCCCAGGGTGACCATTCCTTTGACGACCGTCAACCGTAATAAACGTATTTTAAATTGAAAACTAGGTCGTGACATGGATCGTAAAAAGAAGTGTGCACTTTTGTTATTGCTTAGAAGATACAGGAAAAATAAACAGAAGATTTTGGGGAGATAAGATTTAGATGAGCGATGCGTATCGTAGTTTTGTGTACGAGCCCTTATGTGGTTGGTGCTTGAATAAATGGTACTCCTTTGTTTCTAAATATGACAAGTGAAGTCTTGTAAGTTTTGTAAAGGTCCGACGAATGGTGCGAATTTATTTTAAGTCTAGTAACCGAAACGAGTTAGGCGTTCGGCACTATGATTGGTTGGTATATAGGAGCCGGCCAATCAGGGTGCTTACTCTTGAATCCAATTCCGGTCGATGGACATTGACATTGTGAAATTTCGTACTCTTGAGTTATAACACTAGCGCCGTTTGCATCCGTATTGCGTGGATATTTCTTGAACTAAATGGTATTAAGTTTGGTTTTATATTCCGTACTCTAAATGCTACTTTAGCAGTTACGATAGGGGTTGTATAGTTTTGACATTGGATAATTATTGAGATTGTATTGGATTGAAATTGCATTGACATTGAGATTGGTTTCAAGAGTAAGCACCCAGACTGCCGAACCCGGTCTCGTTTCGATTACTAAACGTTAACTCGGTAAGGCCTGTGACTGCCATTAATTTCCTCAATGTCAATTAATTATAGCTACAAAACTCTGTATTGCCTGGTTTTTGATGATTTTTAATTTTCTCATTTTGTTATGTATATGTGTGATTTCTCATGAAATGAAATGAAAAAGGAATATATTCTAAATTATGTAAATAAGTCTATTTAGTAGGTAAGATGTATTGGTGAATATTTAACTTTTGTTATAAAAGAAGTATCTAATCAACTTGTTTCGAATATTTAGATCAGAATATTGTTTAAGTTTTAATGAATAATGTAAATAATGTTTGTGAAGTACTTTTTTTAACTTGAATAATATATGATAAGAAAATAAATTGTATCTATGACAGATGTATTTTGGTGCAAAGATAATCGAGATTTATAAACAAGTAATTGTAATCCAGTATAAGGTAATCTAGTCATCTTTTTTTATTAAATGAAAGCAAATGTAACTTGACATAATCAGTTTAATCAAGTAAAATTAACAATTATCTAATAAATTAAATCTTCATAATATTTGTGTAGTTTCACTCCATTACTCGTATTTGTGTTTGATGTCCTTCCATAGTTTCTGTAAAGAAGAGAAATAATGTAAGTATTTGTTGATGTTTCAAAAGTACCAAATCATGGTAGCTGTTGAAAATCATCCCCTAATTTCGTTCATACAAAAGTAGTCTCTAAACATTGGAAATAATGTAGTTAGTGCAGAGCGGTCACCGGTGACCACAACCTATTGTTCTATAACTGTGTCTGTAATGACCGTACTCAACGAGTTAATTGAAATAAATACTTTGACTTGGAACCTATTTGATAGAAATTTTTCTTCTGTACAAACATGGGATTCTAAACTGGTTTGTTTTTATAATATCTATCATGAGTCATACTCAAAAATAACATTACGAGTTACTCACATAAATATACCTGAGAAAAGCAGCCAGTAGGCTGTGTGACATTATTAACTAAAATCGCAGGTATTAACATCAGATGATCAACAACTAAAATCAGATGTGTTACTAGTTTGGAACCACAGAGGGGTTCTTCCTCATGAACAGCATGCGCTTTTCTCAGTATATTCACGTGAGTAACCCGCGACTTTAGTTAATTTAGTATGTCTGTGCGACATAGTTGTGACTGCACGCTGCTCTTGACAAAGAGTCTCTCTATGACTTGAAAGTGGTGTTTCTCAGTATCATTTACGTGAGTTTTTACATAATTATACTCCAATACTTTTAGATAATTCAAAACTGTTTAGTGGTTGATCAAAAGTGGCTGAATTTGCTAAAGTACACATTTAATTTATAATGCATTGTAGTCAAACTTGTTTCAGTAAAAATTAATTTTATTATCACATGTGTGGTACCCACTACCTAGTATTTACAGTATTTTCGTAAAATCGGCCTATATAGTATCCATAGCAAGTACTCATAGGTATAGTTACCCATTTCAAAATTTCTTGATTCTAGATAATTTTATTACTTTCTTAACGGTTTTAAGGTAAAAATTTAAAATGTGTTAGTTTTAATCAAATAAATTACTTACAGAATTAACTATATCTGTATATCATACTCAAAATGCAAAATTAATATCATTCATTTTGGCAGCCTTGAAACTTGATTTGAAATTTCTGTTTAGAAAAAAATAACAAAATCAGCTGGATTTTGATTCCAAAGCTTTGTGAAATAAAGTGGTGTATTTGGAGAATCTTATTCAAACTTAGAACTAACTGAATTTCCTACAAAATAAAGTTAAATAAAATTCGAGTAAACTTAAATTCCAAAAACATCAAATGATAAGAGTGAGGTTATTTTAAATATTACAGTAAATGTCGGTTCAGAGAACTTCATTGTTGTCTTTATGAATTAAAAGGAATATTAACAATTTAAAACTACTAACTATAGACCAACAACTCGGTAAAGAGGTTCAAAAGAAAATTACATAACATTACTCACTCCCTTGTTTATGCTCTCGAAAAGAGCAACTGAGGCAACATCGAAGGTTCTTTCGAAGAAGAAAGTGCCTGCGGCTGCAGCCAGGAAGAAGGTGGAGGTTCGCTTGAACACAACACGGTTTAGGGTGGTCCACGCAGACATTGTGGAGGAAATTTCAAGAAAATCGCTTTTCTTGTCGAACTGACCAAAAATGTACCACAGGCAGACAAAAACTACTAAGTATTTTTTTCCTTAGCTGTCAAAATCCCCTCGAGCTTGACTACTAACATTTTCAGCTTATTGAACCAAAGACTATTTTTGCATCAGCATAATAAGAAAAGTTTTTAGAGGGAACAAAGTGCTCTTGGCTTAAAATAAACTAAGTCTAATAGAATAAACTAGGTTTCTGTATTTCATTCACCACCGTCAAGTATACCATGAGATTTCAAGACTAGTATTTATGAACCTATCTACCTACTTCAATACAAGTCAACATTTTTGTATTTCGTCGTTTTGATTTGATAATAACATAGTACTTGAATAAGTGATTGGTCCTATCTATCAGGTAAATTGCATATGTACCAATTTACTGCAACAAGTTTCGGTAAACACAATGACATGAAATATCAGTACCTACTACAATCAGTCACTCTAACCGACCGACCGTACGACCGGATATGCGTAATAACGCAATTTCTGCATCAAGAGACTAAGACAACACCGTTCCCATCTATCTACAGATCAACGTTAACCTTGGCCGATTAATATTAAGTGGAGAATCCTCTCACCCTCACCTTGTACTGCTTACACCGATTGGCCGCTTCTGATACTGACACATCTTGCTCCGTAATAATTGATATCCTCTGAGTTATTTTTAAACACAAAAATACTCGCTTTTATTCTTCGAAATCTATTGGAATTAGGAAAATGTAGCACATTCGTTACAAGAAAACAAAAGAAATTGGCACATGTCACACTTGCAGTAGAAAATAAATAAAATTGCTTTAAATTTCACCATGAAGATTGATAGTTAAATGAATATTCTCTATGAAGTCAGTCTAGTCATGCATGGACTGGACCTATGGATCCTTAGTCGATCGAGTATGGACAGAGATTGATGAATGTCGATGGAGGTATGCCAGAATAGAATCGTGTCATTTTGCGTTCAATGCATCTGTCCACCCCAATGGGCGATACGCTTGACGCGATATATATGTATGTATCTATGTTCTCTATATGTTTTCACAGGAGGGATACTACCTTAGCTCACAGAATGTCGTCATGAAATAACGCTTACGTTGTATATGGTTGAGTACCTACTTGAGTGAGGATATCGAAGACCCAATCTCCTTTTATAAGGTTCGCAACGCACTTGTGACTAGGTACTCTAATAACAAGTGTTTCCATGAGCGGCGCTGATTGCTTACCACCAGATAATGTTTTGATATCCCAAAAAATGAGTAAATCATTCCAACTGCTGTATTTTCAGTTCATACAGGCGCCAAACAAATTATATTGGTTATATAAACCATACTACATCGAGTCGTCGTGCATGTCACACCAAATATAACTGGTAATGCTGTACCGTAAAATGGGGTGAATAGGGATTGTGTGGTGAATAGAGACAGAAGAGGGGTGAATCGATACTATGAAGAATTTCCTTATATCTATTCACCCCTCTTCTGTCCCTTTTCGCCGCTGAAACCCTATTCACCCCATTTTACTGTACTGGTGAATTGAAGGCAACTGTCTCTCCCTAATGTCGTTTTTATAATTTCCTTCCTGCTAAGCTATAAGATAATTCGACCACCAAACCATACTACATCGAGGATAATAAAACACATAATTATTATGATGAAAATAGGGGATATATTTACAACTATGTATTAAACCAAAATGATGACTCATGAACAATACTTTCCATAAATAATAAATGAGTAATGACGCGTTACAGTTCACGCATAATTAATTAAACCGTCATAAATTATTGTACAAACGTCATGTACGGAATGATTGTCAGCTAAACAATTTTACTTTTGGTTTTGCACTCTGTGATAAAAGATTTCCAAGTCCAGTATAAAGATGCTTCCAGACTTGTTAGATTTTGGTTGGAATTAAGATTTACTTTGTAGCGTTGATCGTAACGTCAAAATCGAGCAAGTCTTTTGGCAAACTGCCACAGCAAAAGTAGCCTAACCGACACAATAATTAACGTTTACATTATTCGAGATTTATGTAATGTTGCCTCATTCTAACAAGAACTCAAATGTAGTATAAGCCACTTTTGCTCAAATTATACAAGTAAGTATAGTAAAATTAGCTCACAAACTATAGGGGTTTCATACTGTAAAATCTTAAAGTAAAAAATGCCATAAGATATTATATACTGCTGTAAAATAAAGTTCAGTCCAAAGCTAAAACTATATTTTGAGATACACAGGCTTATAAAAATGTGTCGAAAACGGCTCGAGGTGAGGACAAGATAATTATTAGACGGGGTTTTATGAGGGAAGACAATACAGACACAATCCGACGCATTTTTAGTAAGCGGTACATTTAAAATTAAATGGTTTTATAATATTGTCTAATTCGAAACTCCATATAAGACGACAAACACATTACAAGATAGTTATTGCGATATTTTCCATGCACAAATCAATGACACAATTTATAGTGATGTTTTTTGAAAGTAATAAATTAGTTACAATTTATGATGATTTTTGCATTGAAAGATGATGTGACTTGCAATAAAAGGGAAGATAATTATGTAAACAAATTGCAATTAGACTGAAAGCTATCCATAAACTAGGTAACGCCTGCAAAAATACTCCTTACTTTAAACCTTTATCGCAAATACAACAGAACTATATAGGTAAAGGTGCAGTCATATTATCGACTGAAATAGCGCGGTAATATGTCTGCATCTTTACCCAACGGACTATTTTGAACATAGAATGCCATTTTTTTCTCCATACAAAATAGAAAATGGACTTTAAAAATTGTTCCTGTTTAGGCTCTAACTATTGTCACTTTATTTGTGTACTATTTTAAACATACTTGTTACTTACACCGCTCCATTCCCTGGTTGTTATATCTCACATTCTGATATGTATAGATAGTTTAGGGATAACTTACTTTAACCGTGCTGTTAGCCAAATGCAATCAATTCAACATTTAAATTGTACAAAATTAAAAATGGAATTTCAAAATGCAAATTCAATATGCTACTTAATTTTTCACGTTTTCTGACAGTAATTTCGCATCTCAAATTACTTATTTACTTCAATTTAAAAGATACGCAGAAACTACTACTTTTCATTGTAAATAATATCTCCTAAGAGTTAAAAAATAAATTAATTTGGAATTACAATTTCATACAGAATACTGTAAACACTATGCCAATATTAAAATAATTAAAAAAATATAAATATCTCACTGAAAATACACTGGATTCAACTTTTACGGGTAATATCGGTGTATCGAAAACGCGGTTTCAAGTTGCCGGTAATTTTTCATAAGAACTAATACTTTTAAAACATGTTTTAGACCAATTTCATAATTTCCTTGACTTTGACTTCAGTAATTTGTAGCCACAAATATTCTTTCATGAATTCTCATTATCTACATAGGTGGTCTCGTGCCATTCGGCGTCAATGCACAAACTTTGGCGACCAACATTGGCTATTTGGTCTAATGTAGCTAAAGTTTACACACGCCATACGTTGGCCATATAATCGGAACCACGCATTCATATAGAGCTAGCTACAAAACTACAACAAAACAGTAATTTCAAATATCTTCACCAATCGAATTTTCTAGACGTTTCTCATGTTACCTTTAGCTTCTTTAATGCGTGATGCGAGCCGTCAAAGCGAAACGACCCACTATTCAATGATTATCATTTAATAAAAAATAACATTTAATGGTATACTTCCTTAGACTAAACATTCGTCGAACCATCACATAAATTTTGATAATTAGATTACACTCATACATTAACTAGGCATTCGTTATATTCTAATAATTTTTGGAGTAAATAAATCCATAGTATGTACATGCTCTTGAGATAGTTTAACCTAGCAAGTTTTGTATGAACTAGGTACATATTGGTCGGTTTCTAATTGAGTTATTGTAATTGGTTTCGTTCTGTCCTTGGGCAAGCACTTATTAGTAATGTACAATCATGTATTATAAGATATGTACTCATACAAATGCAATTTTCACAGAACTATTGCTGTAACCTAAATAAACACACCTGTCTCATTGTATTAATATCAATATTAAATTAGCACCACCTAACAATCTAAGTGCATAATTTCAAATGGAAGGGGACCACAGACAACAGATATTTTTTAATACCACAGACAATATTATTGTATATAAAGCCTCATTTTAAAATTTTATCAAATTGTTAATTACACATTGTTATCAGTTTGAGTTTGACAAGAACTATTCTTTGTTTCAGGTCTAATTTTACGGTGAAAAGATCTGTGACCCATTGCCTGCAGTGTCCCTTTATAATCCTAAAATCAAACTATAAAGCTTCACCTTCATAAAATGAAAACAACGGGTGTTGCAGACAACCTGCTAGGTCGTTCAACTAATCTCTCCATATTTGAGCATCGAGAACATTGTCCGTGGCACAGTGAGGTGCATATACCACTAGCAACATTTCTTTTTGGTTTTGATATTATTCTTTAGATGTACCGTGTCTTTTGTAACATTTTGCCTCTCCTTCATGTCGAGCTTCGATTTTAGTACCTGGAAAATATAAAAACAAAGATTATTTATTTGTTTTGAGACCTCGTGAGAGTATACTTAGCTGATACAACCTCTGATCAGTCATGGTTTGTTTGCACTATAAAAAAAAATATTGGTTTAAAATGCGAAAATTCAATTTTGTCTAGCTCACCACACCCTCCCGAAACCACTGCAACTCTTGTAAGCCAGGATCTACAGTAGACACAACTATGAAAACTCCGGAACACTGAAGTCCAGAGCGTCTCAGGGACATGAATAACTGGCTTGGTCCCCAACAAAATAAATCAGAAGATAAGAAGAGGAAAAAAAACGGAGACAGAATGAATTAAGCCTAAAGAAGGGGCACAACTGGGAGAAACAAAGTCGTCAAGCACCACAGAAATAAGTGGGAATAAAAAATCCGGTATGTAAATAGCCACAACCATGAAAACACTGGAACACTGAAGTCCAGAGCGTCTCAGGGACATGAATAACTGGCTTGGTCCCCAACAAAATAAATCAGAAGATAAGAAGAGGAAAAAAAACGGAGACAGAATGAATTAAGCCTAAAGAAGGGGCACAACTGGGAGAAACTCAGTCGTCAAGCACCACAGAAATAAGTGGGAATAAAAAATCCGGTATGTAAAAGTACATTTAAAGTGTGTCGCTATCTTTTTGAGGAACAAGTAATCAAGTAATAATGTACACAGACAGGTGGTAGGAAATACCCTCGTCAATACAGCACAGCAAAAGTTAAGATTATTAAGAAAGAGAAAAGGCATTTATATTGAATTTAATATCTAACCAGTGACAAGACTGGTAGCCATTGGGAGGCCTTATGGACAATAGTTTCAGTACAGGACAAAAACAAAATTAATGGTATTCTTTCTTTGTAAACCATTAATAAAGTTGCATTAGGAAACTTATAACTAAAATTCAGGGACATTGAGGTAAAACCTGCTATTATTTGACCACGACTTTCTGAGTTTACCTAATTTATGTACCTACTTACAGTACAATGTACATTCACACACTACCACATAAGGCAAGCCATTGTCCCATGGTTTTATTTTTGATAATAGGCTACCAAATAGAACTTTAACCTTTGAAACGAAATTACGTAAAATTTTTACGTATTTTTTAACATTGCCCCACACCAGGATGTGGGTGCTTTAACAAACATACAATTTCACATACACATCACACCCAGACCCGGAACAACAATCTGTGGATAACATAAAAAGTTGTTCCGTGCGGGAATCGAACCCGCGACACGTTGCGCAGCAGCCAGTTGCCCAGCCACTGTGTTAAATGTGCAATAAATTTTCACAATTTTCTATCTAACTATGCCAAGAAGAAACTTCAAAACATTTTTAATATCCAAGTTGTAGTTTGTAAATGTAATGGTGTTATTATGGTATTAAGGGTTCGTACACAAAACTGCGATACTATGCGAATTCGCACCGCAAAAAATTACGATGCGAATACGTTTTCGTGCGACAAGGCGTCTCCCAGGGTGACCATTCCTACGACGACCGCCAACTAGGTCGTGATATGGATCGTAAAAAGAAGTGTGCACTTCTGTTATTGCTTAGGTGATACAGGAAAAAGAAACAAAGAAGATTTTGATACGCGATGCGAATCAATGCGCAAGTTCTTGCGATGCGACGTCGCATCGCAGTTTTGTGTACGAGCCCTGAAGTAAATATATTTACCATTTTAGTGATAGTGAGAAACATTTCCTCTACATTAATGTTCTCCTTTGCACTTGTCTCGAATAACGGTATGTTCATCTGATTGGCGAACCTCTGCGCATCCTCTGTCACTACTACTTTTCTTGACGGACAATCATTCTTGTTACCAACTGGAAAAAATAAACAATATACATAATTTAGTATTTATAATAACTATCATGAGACATACATACATTGACTAAAAATCGCGGGTTACTCACGTGAAAATACTAAGAAAAGCTCTACTAGTTTCGAAACACCGAGGGGTAGGCTGCGCGACATAGCCGCGACCGCGCACGCTACTCATGAGGAGGAACCCCTCTGTGGTTCGAAACTAGTAGAGCTTTAGTTAATCTAATTTAGTTATAGTTTACACGGAAATGGATAAAGTTATGTCATGAGTAACCTTCCTTTTTTATGACGAAAGAAACCTTTAATAGGCGGCTACCTTTTTGGGGATAAAAGACAAGGGAATGCGGGATTTGTACCTCACTAAAACCACCCCAGTGACCAAACTGTATGGAGGCACCAGGTCCTCTAAAACATCATGAATATCTACTGAATAAATGATATTTCACTTTTACTATAAATAAAATAATACAGGCTGAACCCTCTTATCCTTTTATCTGTTGAAACACCGGCTCCCGGTATATAACACATTATACACACAACTTTCAGCATACAAGAGGTTATACATGAGACTTATAATTATATTTATAACTGGTTCAAAGTAGATATTGTATTTCCATTGTATATGGTGTGCGCATCTGCCTATCTCTTTGAGGCTTAAAAGGTTCGCAAGACATTATGGTATTGTGCCTAGTCATTCAGACAATCTGCATAAAAATATTTGGAATAAGAAGATTAGTGAATCTTCAACAACAGTAAAGTAAATAATTCTATAATGGTGTACTCAAAATTATTATTTCTAATAAATAATACAAATACAAAAACTAAAGTATAGGTACAGATAAAAAAATAACAATAATGACAATGTTGATACAGCATATTTTAGATAACAGCCACTCATACACACAGGAAGTAATTTACTTCCTTTTTCATGGAATTTCAGCCATTTTCAGTGTGTATACGCATTTGTAACAAAGATCATAATAGATTAGTCATTGATGGTGAGACAGTGAACACTCAAAATAGAACTTGGAAGTATTATGACCTCCTTTGTTCTCAGTTATCTATGAATTAGAACAGATATCAAACCTCTTTTCTAGGTTATTTGTTTATGAAAGATATTGTTTATGTTTAGTTGTATTATTAGTGTAGATTTTTTAGTGCCTACTAAACTTTGTGCAAGGTAAAATTTTAGCATTTTACACTGAAATCATCACAAAGAATCCTAATTAGATTTAACACAGAATGTTATTGAACACAAACAATAGATAAAAAAACCAACATTTGAAATCAGAAAATCCATTTGTTTTTCAAATGTACAGCTTGATACAGCCTTTAGAAAGCAGTATAGTTATATAATGATTACTTAAAATAAATTAAACCACTCAGAATAATTAGAGTGTGACAGAAGATTCTTTTTGTTGTCGTTATTTTGCAAACACAATGGTACAAATGAATAGTAGAGTTGAGAAATCGCAATAACATGGTTGTTTCAACCATTTATTACCAATTATTACTTAAATTAACGTCATTAGAACTGTAATCACTTGTGTATATACCTTTTATGATACATTATAGGGTAGTGGAGGTGGTTATTAACAAAGTTATGGATTACACTGGGTGTATGATGGGTTTTTAAGGTAAAATTCGACTCACCTAAGACTTTATTAACAACATCACAATTCTGTTCGATCTCGTGCAGCCATCTCTTGACATTGGCGAAGGACTCTCCATTCGTGACATCGTACACCACGATGACGCCGTGCGTACCTCTGTAGTACGTACTGGTTATCGTTCTGAACCTCTCCTGCCCTGCTGTATCCCATATCTGTAGCTTCACTCGTTCACCGTTTATTTCTAAAGTTCTTATTTTGAAATCGACTCCTATCGTAGTAATGTAACTACCGGAGAATGTGTTGTCGGCGAAACGCAGGAGAAGACAGCTTTTACCCACACCTAAAACATAACAACATTACACCGTTTACTAAGCTCCAAAGCCCCGAATATTGGTTGTAGAGTTATAACATCACAGGCCTCGCCCACTCACCACTGTCACCGATAATCAGCAGTTTGAAAAGGTGGTCAAACTCTCGCGCCATGGTTTCTGATAGTTATAATTATTACACTAATTGGTCATATGTTCACTAGTAATGTTAAAAATGTATTTAGTACAACTTTAACTACAGAATTGTTAATAAAACTCATGCCGTTAACGTTACACTTCCATCACTTAACAATCGGCCGCCATCATTGTTTTCAATTGCCAGTTGGAAAAAAATGACAAAGGAAAATTCATGCAAATGTTTATGGTCGACGAAAACCTTGCGAAGTCTTAATTTATTCATACAGGAAAATGCAAAACATTATTATCATTGATATGTTATGTTATTCTGTCTTCGTACGTGTAGTTATTGATATAGGATCAATGAGACGACTTTTAATTTTTAAGAAACAAAATGTTTGTATTTACTTCATGTATTACTGCAATATCCTTATCCTGTTTTTATACAATTTTTATCGACATAGCTAAGTAAAGTTACACATTGCATAATATCATTTGATACCGTTTCAATTTTGATTGTAATTTTGTGAATGTAAATATTTTTCTTGAATATAATTTTATAATTTCAGTTACAGTCTAGCTAAAATGAAAATCATTTTACGTATTGGTGTTGGTGGTCTAAATAAAACGCTTCAATTAATTTTTCAGTGGTTATTACTTTTATGTATTTGTTGCAGCAACAATATCTTATCGAAGAGGATGTGAACAACGGAAAGGATGTTTAAAGATGGTTTTTTACACTCTATTCATCCATTTGAAATTTTGTTCTTGGCAACATTTTTTGTGATGACTGTGTGCGTCTATGAGTAATCAAAAACACTTGTCAAATCTAATCTGTCAAATAAACTGTCAAACGCGCTAGGTGTGGTACGAATATTCTAAATTTTATTAAAATTTTGCTATAATGTCGGCTACATTAAAACCTTATTTAACAGCAGTGCGCCATACGCTTACAGCGGCGATGTGTTTAGAGCATTTTTCATCGCAAGTAGTAGAGCGTTATAACAAACCGGAGGTCGAGGTTAGAACAAGCAAAGAGCTTCTCTTGAATCCAGTTGTGATTTCTCGTAATGCAAACGAGAAAGTGTTGATCGAATCATCAATAAACTCTATCAGAGTGAGCATTATGATCAAACAGGCGGATGAGATTGAAAAGATTTTATGCAAAAAGTTTATGCGATTTATGATGATGAGAGCAGAAAACTTTATCGTTCTGAGGCGGAAACCGGTGGACGGATATCATATCAGTTTCTTAATAACAAATTTCCACACCGAGCAAATGTTCAAACATAAACTGGTGGACTTTGTGATATATTTCATGGAAGAAATTGATAAAGAAATTAGCGAAATGAAACTGGCCGTGAATGCTCGCGCCAGAATCTGCTCAGAAGAGTTTTTGAAGCGATTCTAAATTCAAATCCTACAATAACGGGTATGACTAATAGAATGAGTTAATGCTATTGTGTTAATGGTGGATTAGTGTAATATTTCCTTATGACTGTTATCATAAACTACAGTCCCTAATGCAGAAGTTTTACCTTACTATAGCCATTACAATTTACATGTAAACATTAGCTTTTTTATTAAGGTTAACACCTTTGCCTAGGTTTGGTACCCAAGCTAAACCTGTATGTTCATGAACAAATTCCAATATTGTTTACTGCATAGAATAATGATGCTTGTGCATCTATAAGAAATGTTTTTTAATTTATAAGCAGTATTGTATTAAGTATGTAATAATAATCATATTATAGCTTAATATAGTAAACTTTCATTTAAATATTAAGTTATAGAGAATAATAATATAAAGAAATATTCCAAAAACTTTAAGGCATTTAAACATTTCTTTTGACTTGTAAATGATTGATTGTATTATAAATTTTAATAAAATATTTTTAATAAACAATTTTTATTTTTTAAAGATAATAAAATTATAATGAAACACAATTTGGCTTTTTAGGATGTTTATTTAAATAATATCAATTACTTATATTTCTTTCTATAACAAATCATTTTACACGAAACAGAAACAATAATACACATTGAATTAATTTACAGTCAGCTATTACAAAAAAGAATTAAAATTATATTAAAGGAGGATGATCAACATTGTCTATGAAATAACAGCTTGAATAAAAACAAAATGTATAGATAGGTGATAGCAAAGAAGGAGTTGAGAAATTGAAATTGGACTTCCAATTCAACTTCCTTTTGGAATGATGGATTATTAAACTGTAATTACATAGCTTTGTTGATATAAAAAGAATGCAAACAATACTATACACTTTAACCCGTGGTCTAAACATGGATCCACACAAGACAATGTATTTTCTATTGTGTCGCATATCGGTGCATTCAAGCGGTTAAATCCCTGCCATATTTTGAAATCCCCAAAAAGTAGAACAATTACAATTTACTCCCCTGTTTCAAAATCAGCAAGGTTTATTCATACACCATGTTTTTAAAGACAGGTATAATGGAATATAAAAAACAATCCAGATCGACATCACACTTTCAAAAACATCTATTGTTATATTTTATCATGTGATAATAACGGCTGCAAATAAATCTAATTCTCTCTTATTGAAGGCCTCTGAATTTGAAACAGACACTAGATAAAAAAAATCTATTGTGTCTACTGTCTATAAAATTATATATACATTATTTTATATTTGATGGGCCAATATTTGACCATTTGTTATAGTTTAAATTATGATACCACTTCTCCATGCCGTAGTTAAAGGGTGAAAGGGGTGTTAAACACAAACAGATGATTGAATCGAATAGTTGCTGATATTTTGAGGAATATTCAGTGGACTGTCACAATTATAATGATGCCAGATGGCATAGAACGAGTTTGTTTTCCATTTAACAAAATCGAAACGAGACCGTTTGGGGGTTCTGAGTACCAAGCACGAATAACTATCGCAATCGTAACGTAATAGTATCGAGTGCGTTCGGCGCTCTGATTGGCCGGCTCAAGTGAACCAACCAATCAGAACGCTTAACTCGCACGATACGAATGCGATAGTTATTCGTGCTTGGCACTCTGAGGCTTTAGTACGAATTCAAAACGAGTACCTACGCACACAATAAACCAATCAATCAAAGCGCCGAACGCGTACTCGTTTCGAATACTTTAAACGTAAATCAAACTCGTACTAAGCCCTCTGATTGGTTGATTTATTGGCGCCGGCCAATCAGAGTGCCGAACACGTTCTTGTTTCGATCTCTTGTTCTAAGCCCTTTTACCAAACTGACGATTCAGTTAGACTAGAGCATTCCATTTGTGGTCTTTCTTTCAAGGGCCCCCACATTGTAAGTATAGGTACTTACGGCATGGTACAGTGCTATAGTACTTATATACAAGTCCAAAAGAAAATCGAATACTTATAAATTCCCTTTTCATTAAAACCTTTTTATAGATTAAGCTTCTTTGTTGTAGTATTCAGAGATCCCAATAACAAATACTAACTAAATATGAGCAAAATATTGTAACCAATGTCAAAATAAATTTTATGCTTTTGTGAATGAATTTCAGTATATCTAAAACCTCAAATGGTATGAAATACGCATCATTACTCTTTTTACTCTAAATTAGAAATAAATTACAAGAAAGCATGAAGCAATCATTTCATGAATGCTACAGCTTGACATTCAAATTTGGAATTATTAAATTACAGTTTGTAGCATATAAAACCTATTTACCCAATATGCTAAGTGCTGACAACCCCAAATATATAAAAAATACTAGTAAATTACTAATAAATACTTGGTGGATTTCCTACTGGCGTGATTTCAGTGTGAATGCATACATTACGTCACGTTCCAGTTACTGCAAGCAGCTTGAATTGTTTATTTTATTTATGTAACCGAGGTAGGTAGTACCTCTAAAATGTTTAATATTAACACAGTCACAAAGCTAGCTAGCTGATTTTTGGTAATGATAATCTGTTTTCTGAGTAGATATTATCGATTTAACCTGGGGGCTTACTCTTGAATCCAATTCCGATCGATCGACATTGGTATTGTGAAATTTCGTACTCTCGAATTGCAACACTGGCTCCCATTATACCCAAATCACGTGGATATTGAATGAACTAAATGGTATTGAGTTTAGCTTTGCATTCCGTACTCTGAATGCTATTTTAATAGCTACGATATAGTTTTGACATTGAATAATTATTGAGATTTTTTGGTTTGATATTGCATTGAGATTGTTTTCAAGAGTAAGCACCCTGAGCTGGATACTAGTACTGACAAAATTCGGTTGCCAAGTCATGAATTTGATAGATTTTCAACCTTACACTTGCTGGCAGTATAGTCGACAAGATCGTTTTGGAGACTCGTTTGCCAAAGAAAAGAAAAAAAACCTTACACTTTAGTATTAATGGCTTTTCTGACTTGGCAACAATTTTTATCGTATCTATTGTTTTAATTGTACTACAACTAGCGCAATATTTATTATGATACGGTACGAGGAACATAATTATTATGTATGTATAAAATGGTCGCCTATAGATATAACGTCAATTCAATATTGGTATTTCTGACAAGGCACGCGGTCTCGGTATCAATTAGTTAATGATTCTGCTATTATTTATTTATAAACTTTATTAACTATTTCTCTATATAAAAATACGCACAGATTTTGTGAGATGACGTGTCGGTGCATTTACACTACACTAAAAAGGTTATGGATTATAGACTCTTATAGCTTGTGATAAAGATCAGTTTTAGTTGTTATAAAATAAAAAAAAATATTTTTAAATTATCATTTTAAAATGAACTGTAACTACAAATGTGTAGAATACAATTTATTTTAAAGTTGAAATTTAATGCAGTATGAGCAATATAACAATTTCTAAAAACATTAATATTAGACCATACGATATTATAGTATTGCTCAAAAGTCGTAAAAAGCAGTAAGTACATTTTGACACCAATCAAAACTGAACTTTACCAAATGAACTATAAAGTCGCTACTTACATGAAATTTTGGAATTATAAGACTTATTGCCTTAGGTATAGGAATCTAGTAACAAAAAGTACTGAAAGGAGGTTTTTACACTACTACTGAAATGCTTAGGTATTGCATCATGCAGGCTAAAAACTAAGTTAATACTAAGCTAAATTCGTATAATGTGAGTAAACTGTACCATTATTTTATTTAGCATGTCTGTAAAGAGTTACTAGTACTACACAGCGTAATTTACATAATCTGTGCTTAGCTATGTAAGCTATGCTGAACCAACTTAGCTTTTAGTCTGCAACTATGACAGAGATAATTCAAATGTCAAGCTTTCGATGCTCATTATTTTGACAATCACAACATTATAAAACATTTCTAAGTATCTTTTATTTTATTTTTTCGTTGTTCTGTAGATGAAGCAGTGATATCGTATCTTGGTTGATAACAACTCGATAATTTTAGTCAAGCCCTAAATTGCGCGTTGAATGGAACTGATAAGATGACATCATGCCTTTGTACTGAATGCCCTGGCGCTTATGATATTTTCATCGATTATTGAGGCAACTTAACAAAATAGAAATTATGAAATTGAATTATTATGTTTTCGGCTTACTCACGTAATAATTTGACGAGGAACTCGACCAGTTTCAAGCCATGCTAGAGGCTCATATTCACGAGCAGCTTATCGCGTCCCTGCCGACCCGAGTTCCTCGTCAAATTATTACGCGAGTAAGCCGAAAATATAATAATTTATTTAGTATGTCTCACGAAATTACAATACAAATTATGAAATTGATTGAAAGATTGAAAAATATACAAAATTGTCAACTAAAGGATTTAGGATGTCCCTAGGATTAAAGATTTAGCACGTCTTCTAGCTAGTTTGAAGTGGTTAAAAGACATATTTAATATTTCAGAAAACTGAAGGCCAATTATATGTAGTTTGTCAATAATATAATTTATTAAAAAATCACTTCAGTATCAGTATTACATCAAAAATATCAAAAAGCACGCTAGAAATAAATATAAGTATCACACCCCAGACCATCAGTGTTGCCAACACAAAAAAATAAAACTGATTCATCTACAGGCAACATTATGTGTAAAAAATCTAACATTTAACTATTTTATACTCAGTTCTTGGGCTTGGTATTTCTTAATGTGAAGCCTTCGCCTTTGAATGCTGTAAACGGTTCTGAAGGTGTCTCCTCCTTGGCACTGGGCGGCCTGGAGTTTCTGATGAATCTTAGAGTGCCTATCACGTAGTCATAGTCTGGGATACCTCTGACGTAGGGCTAAAAAGAAAGAAAGAAGTATTTAAAAGTTGATGAAAAATGATGACTGTAGGTCATCAGGCATACTTCAAAAACATGAGTAACATAGCATACAAGGTTTTATGGTACAGAAGGTCAACACCTTCACATTTTTAATTTTGAGATGATATTGCAACCAATATCATCTCAAAATTAAAAATGTGTTGCTTGATTTGATAAAAAATGAAAGGTAGAAAAAAGTTGATGTACATACTTTATAGAATATTTCAGTTCCTAACATAATATCATGGCTTTTATCCTCGAAGGGGTAGGCAGAGGTGCACATTATGCCGCTGTACAATGTAACACCCACTTTTAACTATTTATGAGTCCCATGTAATAGGGGGTGAGCCTATTGCCACATACCGGGTACAATTCCAGACTCTGTGTTATTACTGAGATTTTTTTTTAAAAACCTAGTAATACTTTGCCCGACCCGGGAATCGAACCCAAGACAGTCAGTTCATTTACTTAAAAACCATTTATATCTATTTAAATGACATACTACTTCTGATAATATACAAATAGACACTTGTCTCAATCTGAAAATGTACAAAAGGTACCATAAATATTAACACCAACCTGTCTAGACTGTGACGCGGACGGTTCAGAGTCGCTCTCACTGATCAGCTTCTTCTTCTTGCCGTCTAGCCGGTTGCCCTCGCCACTGAAAGCGATGAAGCCGCTGGGCTCCGGCATCATGTTTGAAGGATCCTCGTCCATTCCCATCGAGTTGCCACCGTCATCATGAGGTATACGTTCTTCTTCTTTGTAGCCAACCGGTGGCGCAAATTCTACCTGTGATGCGATAAGTCTTGATTAGAAACGTAGGAAGTCTATACATTTTTATAAAAAGTTAAAACATTATTTGTTAACATATAATGTGTCGTGGTGGCCCGGAAATTTAAGAGGTCCGTTTTGAGGGTGCGGGTTCGAAACCTACCAACGGCAAGTACGGTCAGCGTCAAAAATTGATGAACACATTAAGATTTTCAAAATCGTTGTAGACCGTACTATATTTAAATCCGCGAACATGACAAGCACTTTAAATGCAACACAAGATAATTATTTATTTCTGGCGCTTGTCATGATAACCGATTTAGGTAATACACTGTACAGCGGTTTTCAAAATCTGAATGTGTTCATCGATTTTTGATGCTGATTGTACCAATGTGACTTTTTCCGAGCTATATGTACTTTCTAAGATTATCTAGACACAACTGACAAACGGTGGAGGAAAACATCGTGAGGAAACCTGGACTTATAATTTCTAATTATAAGTTTGAAATCGCCAACTGGCATTGAGTAAGCGTGGTGATTAATGCTCAAACCGTCCGTGTGAGAAGAGGCTTTGCTCAGCAGTGGGCATTTATAAGCTGTTGATGATTAAACATATCAGTTTCTTTTAATAAGTTGAAAATGGTTGTCTGGTGTGAAGAATTAGATAAAGTGACTAATCATTTGCAAAGTCACATGAACCTAGACCTTTTTCATTCATTAATTCATTAACCGCTTGACTGCCGGTATATAAGACACAATAGAAAATGCATTGTGTCTCGCGTAGATCTACGTTCCGGCACACGACGGGTTAATTCAGACCTTTTTCGCCTTGTCACTGACTCACTACAGCTACATTCAGCTGCACAGATGTGCAGTACACAATATTGTATTCACTGTTGAAATTCACTTAAAAATTTGTTCAGTAGTTTCAACAGAAAGATCCCTTTAAACATGTATTTGTTTATGTTGTATTTTGTAAAACAAAAGCGTGGGAGAGTCATGCTTTGGCATGAATAGGTCGGCTTCATCGGGCTGACACCACAGCCTCACAGAAAACCGGCGTGACGCAACGCTTGCGTTGTGTTTCGTCTACACGACGAAACTGGTTAAAAAATCAGGTTACTGGAGACCCAATTACCCCTCTCCCTCCCCAACCTCCTCAATCCCCGAATCCCTAAATGCCGATAACGCACTTGTAATGCCTCGTGTTTTGGGTGTCCATGGACGACGCCGATTGCTTACCATCGGGTGATGCGTATTTTTCTTTAAGGGACAAGTTCGCCACAACCTCCCAAAACCGCTGCAACTCCTGTAAGCCAGGATCTACAGTAGATACAACCATGAAAACACTGGAACACAAGTCCGGCGCGTCCCAGGGACATAAATAACTGTTTTGGTTAGAGGTGGAGGAGGTGATGTGTATGCTAGTTTACCGGCTTATTCCATAAAAAAAGATGGAATCAAAGGTATACTTACATTCATATCACACTCTATGATGATGACAGCGTTCCCTGGTTTGGTCTCAAGCACACATAGCTCATACACTTTGGAGTTGTACTTGATGGCAATCACATCGCCAGTCGTTAGACATGAGAAGTTACGTAGACAGTTTTCTAACACTGAAACAAGAAAATTTGGTTTATTTGTTATGCTAATGTCTTAAAGTATCGGGAAAAAAATAGTATTTGAAATTATATTACTTAATTTCATCATAGTTTGCCAGCCAGCCATGGAGCGCAGTATATTAGGAGTCTGATTATCGGATAGAATAAGAAACTGCCTCGTTGGCTTACTGGTCGCAAGTGCGACTGCCGGGCAAGGGGTCTCGGGTTCGATTTCCCGCGTCAGGCAAAGTTGTAATTTATTTAGTTTAAAATTACTGGGTTGTAAAAAATCTTAGTAGTAGCACGAAGTCTGGAAATGTGCCCAGTATATGGCAATAGGCTCACCCCCTATTACATGGGACTCATAACATAAATAGTGAAAAGTGGGTGTTACTTCTGTGTGCACCTCTGCCTACCCCTTCGGGGCATGATGTTATATAATGTAATGTAATAAGAAACTCCATACTGCGCTCTAAAATTGAAATCGCTGACAGAAATCAAAATTAGATTTTTTTGTTATAATGCATAGTTGCTGATAGCTAGATATTATGTTCATTAAGTGGCTGGCATTTTCTATTATCATTTTTATATGTTCTGCAATATCATAGTTTCAAGATATTATAAATTTAAGTATATGCCTGGTGAGTGTCCCAATTTTTTTAAAATGAAACTAAATATCCTGATTAATAATAGTATAATCCTTTACATGGTTGAGGAGTTAGAATGGACTTACCTGCTTTAGGATTAGTTATATCTAAAAAGTCTTCAGATAAAGGCTGGAACTTCGAGAATGTGGCCACGGGTAGGGACACACTCTCTATTTGTAGTAGTGCTCCCTCTTCCACCACCAGGTTGGTCATCATCTGAATAACACACAATTTAGCATTAACATAGAGAGGAACAATATTAGTAAATCCTACTAATATCCTACTAATTCTACTTCAAACCATTTATCACCAAGCGGTCACCGGTGACCACTCTCCACTAACTAAATTATAGACCTTATTACCGATGTTGATGTTTTTTAAGGGGGGAAAATCATCGAATGACTGCTTCCGCCTGGTTGAGGCGGGAGGGAGTGTCAGACCCTTATTGACAAAAAACCACTCCGTTCCTTCTCCTGTACGTCGAGCCGGAGCCCCAGTAACCGGTTAGGTTCTCCGCGACATTTCCGATGTTTTGAGATTCATTTTGTATGAACAAATTTAGGGGATGATATTTCAACAGGTTAATTATTAATTAACCGCCGCGTAGGTCATCGGTGACCTGCGTTAGCGGAGGATTTGCCTTCAGCAGTTTTCTGTTGGCAGTCAAAGGCTTAATATTATAAATGTGAAAGTTTGTGAGGATGTATCGTGAGCGTTTGTTACTCTTTCACGTCAAAATGGCTGAAAGAATAGAGATGAAATTTGGAACAGGGGTATATTGTGGTATGGTATAACACATAGGCTACTTTTTATCCCAAGGAAACATGGGCAAAGCCGTTGGCAGGAGCTAGTATAGAATAATTTTCCAGGCAATTGTCAAATTTTCCTGTATTAGGAGAAATATGCTGCTTATTTTATTCCCCGAAGGGACAGAGTTGCACAAATTAAATGTAACACCCTATTTGCATTTTACTAATTACATTATGAGCAACAACTTATAAAAACCATTAATAATATGTCAACCTATCAAATACAAAAATAAACTGGTTTACTATGTAATGGGTAGTGTAGTATAAGTAGGCACTAGGCACTGCTGTTTTTAAATTAAAAAATGTAATATTTTCAAGGAGAATATTCATAACTACAAAGTTCTAAAGATTTAAAGAAAAATGTAAAGAATAACACTACAACACCGTGCAGTCAAGTCGGTAAATGATGATTGATGATGCAATAGCAAGTTATTGTTTATAAATGCTGCTCTGCATTAACTCGTCGAGTACCGGTTTTGTAGACACAATTATAGAACAATAGGTCGCGGTCACCGGTGACCGCTTGGTGTTTGACAGTTTAAATAGTAAAATAGAATATCCTTTAACCACTTGAATATGAGACAGTAGATAACACATTGGGTCTTGTGTAGGGCTCTCCGGCTACCATGGGTTAATATGCCATGGAATAAGAAATGTAAAAAATAGTTTATATATATATAATGAAAGAAACCATGATAGCTAAAGATTACAACTATGCTATTTAGCTTACTGATACCACAATATTAGTTACAATGCCTTATCTTTATCAGTAAGCAAGAAAGAAGTAACAATATTGTGTGAGAAGGTGCTCTTGGTCAGTAATGGCCACTTATAGGCTATTGATGATGATGATGTTGATACCTTGTCTATGAAAGTATAAGCCATACAGAGTATAAAAAAGTAATATTTAAGTTCAACAGGATATCAAGGTGACTTGCTACTTTTTTATAAAAGTCAATGCATTTATTTTAATTAAACCATAATTTGGTACTTTTGAAACATCAAGAAATACGAAATTAATAGTAGTCTGTCAGTCTGTCCGTCAGTGAAGCTAGGTACTCATTCCAAAATCTAAATTAAAATGTAGAAGAATGAGTAAGAAATTCCATTTGTTACCCTTTTAAAAAGCAACATACAGGTAGACTATAAAATATCAAGCAATATTATCAATACATTACCCAATGTGGTAAATAAACTCTTCCCTCATCTGCCACAAACTCCAACACACCACAATGTGTCACTCTTTTTGTTTTTTTATTTGTTAGTTTAAATATCATGGGATACTCAATATTCAGCCTTGTCAGCTGTTCCAGTGCTGATGGTGGCATTATAACTGAAAAATGAAACATTTCTTTTTATGTAACAGACATATAATAATGTATTTTAGGAGTGATAAGTAAAGTGATTAGTGTGTAATCTTAGAGATGCACTATTCTTGCAAAATACAGCTGTTTATTTGATAATACATAGCTGCCTTAGTTAAATGTAATGTATGGAGATATTATTTAGAGAAATATAAATATCTGGCCACATAGAAAGTCCTTGAAAATAGTTTATTGGCTTTGGAACAATGGCTGACTACTTTAGCTTATTGCTTCGTATTGTAAAGTGCACATTGAAGAGTCTTACTTTTTCCTCCCCTTTCTACATCTTGTCTCTCATTCCCAGGTAACATAGAGACAGAATAACACTTATAGGTCATGTTAAAGGGTCTGCTGATTTCATGAAACATGTTGAATCCAAACTGAAACTATAAAAGTGCACGTTAAGCAAATAATTGAAAGTATTCCAAACACAATTATAACAGCTGACTAAATTTACCATTTTAATTGATTTAAGAATAACTGACTGATTGAAAAATAAATGCAAATCATGCAATCCACACTCAAAACAATTCGAGTCAACCTTTGTTGTGATTTTGACACCTTTGTCAAATGAACGAAAGATTTTATTTTTTTTTAATTTTATGTCAGTGGAGCGAAAGAGACGCATAGATTCAAAATATCAAAGAGTAAAAGAGATAATCACAATGTCAAGCTTAAAATTGGCGTTACGTTTGCAAAACTCGATTTTCGACAGCACTAATGGCTGCGTTCTCGAAAATTGAAACTATTGAATTTGAAACGTAATAGTTGTTATAATAACAAAAAAAACTATTTCGATTACTACTAGAATACTAGAATTATTATAAATAAGGAATGGCAAGCATATCATTAGTTATGAAATTGTCAACATTTTTTGAGAATACTTTGTGTTATATTAAGAAACCATAATAAGGTCATTTACTGTTTGAACTATGTTTGAAATGTTTAAAGATAATTCTGTAGAAATCCAATGTCGAAAAATAGATTTTGCAGTGAACTTTTCCAGTAATGTTATTGATTTTTTGGCCAAGTTATGAATGAAATCTTGTAGTATATAGCAATACTAAATAGGAACGTATCCGAAAGCCGACAAAGTTCTTGCTTTCTTTTTCTTACATTATGTGCCATTTCATTCATTTGTATATGTGGCAGCCGCGGGTGTAGTTTGTTCGTCATATTTCTCCGAAATAGCAAAACTTATTGGACCCCATTTTATCTTAATGTAGTATTTAAAAAAATGTGAGTTGTTTCGGGACAAATACTTTCTCCATTAAAAAATATTTAAATTCGTTTCTCCGTTGTCATTTTCTTTACGATCACGAACGCCATGTTGATTGTCAAAAGTGTTTTCGGATGAGACAGCAGTGAATTGATTTGTGAAATTTTTTCAGAGTTGGTGATTTCAAAGGGTCGCTTGTAGTCCGGTTCGGTTAATTAAGGGCGTGGGTTTACGCAACGATGGCGCAAATATTACCGATACGTTTTCAGGAGCATTTACAGGTGAGTACGCCCATCGGTTTATTGGATTTGCCGATAGCGTTTCCTTTGAGGAAGCAATTTATCAGTGTACGTCAGGGGGATGTGTTGGGGTGTCGGTGGTGCATTTATTTGCATGGTAGGGTGGTTATGTGGCGGTTATAATGGCATTGCGCAATTATGGCAGTGACAGTTACCACCCCCTATCCGCCGAAGCGCCGAGCCCACGGGACGAGCGGCCGGTATTGATTTGTTCTACATTCTCTTTAGATCATATGGTCTGGGAGCCAATGCCAAATTTTCGTTCATTCAGGTCAAAGTTAGTAGTTCAAACTTCCTACTATGTACCTTTTCCTAAAGCCTAAGTACCTATTTAAAATGTCCTGTCTTTGTGACCCTTAGTATTTTATTGTAGTCTACTGTTATTTGGTAACATACATGACACATATCAACAACAAAAGTTAATCCAATTAGAATCTGATCTGAGGAAACCTCATAAGAATAGAAATTTGAAAGAAAACTTACTTCTATGTATATTTATTTTATATATTATATTGTTTGTTTGATAAGATCTAGGATTAGTCACCACTAGGACTACTATAATGATGATGTATAATAAATACTAACAACTCAAGCTCTATTTTATTAAAAACCAGAAAATAAATCATAGACATATTAATGTCTGAGTAATTCCTACAATACACCTTATCTTATTATCATGGCAAGTCAAAGAACTAGATTACTTAGAAGGTGAATCAAAAGGCATTGAACTTGGTATGCTGCAATTTTATTTTTTTTTTTTGCTATGATAACAGCAATGACTGGTCAGAATTTGAAAGAAAGAAATAGCCATTGATGAAAAATGCTATCTTTTTTTTGTGAACTAACTTTCCACAGATTAAATATATGAGGGTTGGTAATATTATCTGTTAATATAAATAAAGAAGGATTTATTCAATTCTTATTACAAACTTAAGTTAATTCTAAGTTAGAGGTTCAAAATAATGTGTCACCATTTAAAAGGATTCCCCAAATGTGTGATTATGTATGAGCTGTCAGTCTTCGTATTACTTATTGATTATTTTAGCATATCTTTATTCTAAACACTATGACTAATTCTAATTAGGTTAATCAAAACAAAACTATTTGTATTTAAATTATTTTATATCTGATTTTATGACATTAGAATTTTATTAGAATTTTGAATAAATTATAAGATACTTAATACTAAGGTTATAATATTTTAAAAATTTTATATGTCACAGCTTGTACTTTCAGTTTAAAAAAAATAGGGTATGAGTTACATAATAATCTTCTCAACTAACAAAGAGGACATTGAGGAACAAACTCCACTTAAAATATTACAGTATAAAACATGATTTGAGTTCCCATATTAATAAAGCTCAATTTCCCTTGCAGCTCACAAATGTGGGCATCAATCCAGCCTCCATATCGTTCAACACACTCACGATGGAGTCGGACAAGTTCATCTGTGTCCGTGAAAAAGTCGGTGAGACTGCGGAAGTAGTGATCATCGATATGGCTGACCCCACCAACCCCATCCGTCGGCCAATCAGTGCTGATTCTGCCATCATGAATCCGGCCAGCAAGGTCATCGCTCTGAAGGGGAAAGCGGGGGTTGAAGGTATGTCAGTTTTAGTTTACTTGGTCATCGGTTCTTTCATATCCATTTCTATGCAATGATTAAAATATATGCAAATCATAAAGGTGATATGTCTGATCATTTGTTTTCTATTCCATGAAAAAAAAAATGTATTGATTCAATTTAACAAAATACAGGCTCTATTAAATAGAATTGTCATTTAGTAAAACTAAATGCTCATTCCAAAATGTAGATTTATATGGAGAAGGACAAGCTACGAACTGCATTAGGATATTACTGCTTGACACAATTAATGTCTGTAAAGTCACTCTTAACATTTTTCTTTATCACTTTCACCATATTATGCAATGAAATTTGTTATGCCAAATTAAGCTGTAATCTATAGGGCATAATTTATAAATTGAAATGCATGATTTGTATACCCTTTAAAAATTTAGATTGAATTTATACAAAGAAAGTGTATGATAAAAATTAAAAATCCAATCGTAATTTCAGGCATTAAGACACAAATTGGATAGTTCAGATACTATTCCATTTCACTGATGACCTAAATGTGTTTTATCAATCACTATTACATGTCTATCAGGAATCAAAGTTTTATTACTAATTATGTATATTCTTGCACATAGTTTAAGAGAAATATTTATGTAATTAATCCAGGAATGAAGAATATTTGATCAGTATACTGAGAAAGAGGTATAAGCACCAGTGGTCCATTATACATCAAATAAATACCTTATTTGTAATCTATGCCCTTGACTTTCTTATACTCTTCTATCAGATACTGCTGCTATTGCCTAAGTCAAAGTAAAAAGCAGCTGGTTAGAAATATCCTTATTTTACCTTTGTGTAAGCAAAAAATTACTACATTCAACTTACATGCACTTCCTACCGAATTCGTTATTAGTTTTGATCATAGAAACAAAGCTTATTGCCACTATTAAATTAATCGGTGTATGAATTCAGAAACAAAATAAAATCATTGGAGAAGTGAAAACATTTTTGATATTTTTTCTTTTTTTTTAAATACGTTGCCCCAAACTAGTGTATTCTCCTATGTCGTGAGTGCGTTCACAAATTGTACAAGCTCACATACACATGACAGCCAGACCCTAAACAACAATCTGCGAATTCCGTGTGAGAATCGAACCCGCGACAGAGTGCTCGACAGCCCAGCCACCGCGCCAACCGTGCAGTATCTACCTAAAAAGCTAAAGCTTATTTGCTCTTTGATGGAAAGCACTTTCCTTTGTGTTATGTGATAGTAGGAATATTTAAAACACGAAATTGGTCTTTAATTTAATATGAATAAAGGTTTTTATGTAATGTACGGTGTTTATTACTACATAATATCGTTAAGAGAACGCTGAACGCCGGGAACCGCCCCCTTTCTGTCCGATACCGCGACAAAATGTTCGACGCCCACGCGTCATTAATGACGTTAGCACCACCGAGAAAGCCCTTTTATTCCCGACAATAACAATGTTCTATTTTTATTTTTAGTTCAATGTAATAAGGTCTATTTTTGTACTGTATTGTAGTTGGTAGCACCTAAAAATCGGTGTTTGACTAAGTCTAGGAATGATTATTTTCTCCTGTTGCCTAAATGTTGTAAACATATTTAATTGTCTGTATAAACTGCTGGGTTTTTCCTTTATCTCTGAATCGTGCATATTGCATTATTCGATTGATAATTCTTAGTAAAACAATGTCTGAAATTGTGCCTGATGAATGGGAATTGGTTCGTCCTATGTTTTATGGAACTAATAACACGAATAAGACTAAGTTGATGTGGGCAATAAGTACTTTTTGTGGGGATGAAAAATCTACCCTTTAATAGTGTCGTACTCTTACTGACTATAAACAATTCTAATTCCTGCCCTACACTGGGGCCACGGTATATGGTTAATCACGCCACGACGAGGCACTAAAGTCCTAACTTAATATGGTACGGGCGTGTTTTGTAATGAGAGGAAAGGTGGCAATAATGAATGTGACCTTAGACTTAAAGAATCATCGGAGCCGCGGTGAACCTAACCGGTTACCGAGGCTCCGGCTCGAAGTGCAGGAGTAGGACGGGGTGGTTTTTAGTTAGTAAGAGTCTGACACACCCTCCCGCCTCACCCAGGCGGGAGAAGACATTCGATGGTTTTCCCCCCTTAAAAAAAAGACTCAAAGAATCATAGTTTTTGGAAAGCATGTATTCAAATCTTGATTGAAATATAAGTTTGAACTAAGTACAATACTATGAAAGGTGTTCACTATTGTATTGTTATAGTTGCCTTTCATACAGTAGCTTTTATAATTATTATTATTGCAATCATTGTAATAAATGAAACGCAAACCAAATATTAAAAGTACTCCTAATAAATCGTACTTAAAAATGAACCTGTTCGAGATGAGTTGTTTTTACACGATAACATTATATCGTATACATAAATTTTATATTAGCGCAAACATCGGGCAGACCCTTTCATTCATAAAATATGAATGCCTTTATCGTTGAGATGAGGAGGAAATTATCTATCTGGAAATTAAAAAAACTGTATAATATGCTAAAACACATTAAAAATCTTTCATCTTTTATTCATCCCAACAAAACTAAACTATCGATAGAATCAGATAAGTATTTTTGGAATGATCACTACACAGTAAGCTTCTTACTCGAAATTTACAATAATAATGTATCCAATTGGAATGTCAAAGTCATAAAATCAGAACTCTTCAACTAATGACTATGGACTCATTTGAGAAAGAGTAAAAGAGTACCGATGGAGTTTTTTACTCATTCTTCTCTATTCGAAACTACACTTAGGAACGAGCATAGTGGGACAAGTCCGCCATATCCTCCGAAAGCCACTGGAACTCCTGTAATCCAGAATCTACAGTATGGTCTACAATATGTATCTATACAACTATGGAAACACCGGAACACTGAAGTCCGGCGCGTCCCAGTAACACTTGTAACACTTCGCGATTCTTCGCGGCGACTCCAATGGCTTACTATCAGGTGATCCGTCTGCTCGTTTACCGGCTTATTCCATAAAAAAAAGACAAACAAATGACCTCAATAAAAACGAAGTTTAGCTTACAATAAGATTGAATTACACTGTTATCTAAGTGAATTAGAATGAAATGCGTCCGATATCACGCGATTATGCGGCGGGTCGGATGAATATAATTATTTATCTGTCTAGACTAGACTATGAAACTATTAATAGTGCAAATCTTTATTATTATTAGTAACAATAATGTCTGTTTATGGCACTTTCTTTTGTGATTTCAATGATGAAATTAGTTGGCTTGTTTAAATGCATCTGTTGTTAACTGGGGCTTAGGTTTTTTTGGTAATGATGTAATACGTCCGTAATATTCTTAAGGACGTATTTTCACGTATATTATAGGCAAAGGTGTGCTTACAATACAGATATAAATAATTCTATAGAAACGGACGAATTTTTAGAACCTCATTTCCACATTCCTTTCCTACCTTTATGGAGAATTTAGGTGTGATGAATTTTGTGACCGGTGCGTACCCATAGGACCATTTTATAATGTATTACTTAGCTTAAGACTAAAACCATGACTATAAACATACAAGTACATACAATGATGTGTGTATATTTCTTTTGTTTTAAACTACAAAGGCGCCATCTAGGTACATTCTGTATTTTCGGAAACGCGACAATACAAAGATTTTTTAGTTAATTAGGCGTTGCCACGCATTGTGCTCAGTCACTGATGTTAGGATTTCGGTGTCGAATTATCTGATTGCGTCATTAGTTTAGCACAGACAATTCTATCTGCAGAAAAAAGGTTTTGTTCAAAGGTCTTACCACAAAATTGTTAATAGCATTATTATAACTTGCTAGTCACTGACGAACAAGAAAGGAAAGTTCTGGTCGTAGCAAACTACATGGTTTCTCGGAGAAATTCCTAGAAGAAGAATTTCCGAAATTCCAAAAATAACAGAAAGGAATATATTTTTAAAAGAACATACTTGTTATATTTATTTTTTGTTGAAACTTTCGTCGCAAGACTGGCGTCTTTCCCGTCAGTACCCAGTCAAAATAAACAATATATTTTGAATGAAAACTATTTCTGTTGTTCTGCACAAAAATCCAATGTTTTTATCAGTTTTGTTGGCAGAGCAATAAACACTGGTTTGGATGTGTTTATTCGATAATGCTCGGGCCACGTATTAAATTCATAAATTGTATGACAAAAGATATTGCTGTAAAGACATGCTAAGGAGCTCATGAATGTGTAAACGAATATTTTGACAGCTGTTTTCTTCTAATTGTATATTCAAGTCTTTTAACATGGCCGTGTGTATGTTGTGCATGTGACATAATTACAGAAATTAATTGAAAAGTGTAATTAATAAGCCAAAGTCCGGTTTGGTTAGCGTTCCACAATGTAAAGAGACATTATTTAAATAAACTGGGTCAAATGTCACATTCGTGGAAAATATAAACATTATTGAGAAAATACTTGGATCTTGTAAAGACCCGTTTTCATTGAGATATGGACTTAACCTTGGGCAGATTGCCATATTTGTCTTACAAAAAAGATACGTAAAACCTGAACATCGACAATATAGTCTGAAGTCTGACCTACCTAAATACTCTGTTGTTAAATAAAAAAAAAATGCTCAAACCGCACCTCTATGACAGCATCCACCGTTCCATATTCAAAATTATAATAAACCGTATAATTTCCATAGATATTAACATGACTGCGCTGTTTTCATTTATTGATTGCATCACGCATAGAGACGTCCAATGCGGTCGGATATGTTCTGGCAATGAGTCATCTGTGTATGTACGCGGCTTTTATATTCTTGGCACAAAGCTCTACGACGGACGGAAGTGACAATAACACATAACTTTATAATGTACGAGTCGATGCACTTTTATGGAGATTAAAAGTGTGATACTATGGCGTGGTCTCGCTTTTATGGGTTATCGGATAGTAAAACGCGAAATATTCAATAACATATCACTGAACTCTTTTATCAT